ACATCTTAGTTTTTCTCTTTTTTTTCTCTGCACTTTAAAATAAGACTTTCTTTTTACTGTGAAACGTTAATGAATATGAGAAGCAAATATTTGAGCTGTAAAATTGCGCAAATTTTATGCGAAAATGATAATATAAAAAGTATATTAAAACTTTTTTTAGGTGTAGAATACAGAAATACAGAAAATCGTGGGAACCGAATCAAGTCATGGGTACTTTTTATTTTTCTTAGATAATGAAAATAATACATAATACTGCCACCTGTATTATCCCAACACTCAATTGGCCGATCAAAATGCTTTAATAAATCTTATAGAGAAGAATCTTAAAGATCCTAATCATTTGGTTTTTATTCTGGTTTTCAAGCATCCGCGCGCACTTGTAGCGAAACTATATATATTGAGATATTACTGTATCCCGAGGAGGAGATTTTAGATTAAGACAAAAAAAAAAAAAAAAAAAAAGAAACGACGACGGAAAAACCAAAGAAGAGGAAGGTGCACTTTTGCGATTGTTACAAATTCCACCCTCAAGCTCTATACTCGCCTATTTCTCCTCCACACATCCCACCCTTTTGTTTGGCTTTTGACAGGGGCGTCTCTCGTCTAACTTCAATTCTATCTGATTCAGATCGAATCTAATCTGCTTCCACAATATTGCCCGTGTGTTGGCAAACAACGTAATTCGAGATTATTTCTTGATCTTGATTTCATCTTGTTGCGCTCTCTTAATATTGTTTACCTAACTGTGGTGGTTTATTTGGGGTAGAAAGGTGCATATACTTTAGGTGTGTGTTTGTGTGTGTGTCGTTTGCCTATACACTACCTGCTGTTCAAAGAAAGATGAGATACTTTTTCGTAACATGGACCGTGAGAGAATTAACCATTTTTGAAAACCGGATGCTGTAACTTTTATAGAATTCGATTTTTGTGCATTGGAATTATTTTAGGAGATGTGTGTTTAGAAGATGAGCCACTAAATACCGGAAGGTTAATCAAATAGCGGTTGCTTTCAATTTTGAGAAATCTCGGTTCTTTAATATTAGATATTAAATTTTGATTTTGAAATGATGTTGTCTGCTGTGATGCTGTAATCGTTTTGGATAAATTACTCAATCTGTTTAGTATCGTATATTTAGGATCATCATTCATTTATTTATTTATTTATCATCTACAAAATTCACGATAGAATTTAGTATAGCATCATCAGTATAATATACGATGTAATTGTTAAGGATGAATATGATTCAATTATTTTTATAACTAATAAAATTCTTCTCAGAAATTCAATTATTATTTTAAAAATTGGTAAATTCTTGAATTCTTTCTTTAATTCTTTACAATTATTCAACTATTTTCCCCAAATAAAAAAATTTTCACGAGAATTCAATTATTTGAAAAGAATTAAATAAAATTTTTCGCAAAAATTCAATTATTTTTTTTTAAATTGGTGAATTCTTGAATTATTCTTTTAATTCTTTACAATTATTCAATTATTTTCCTAAATAATAAAATTTTCACAAGTATTCAATTATTTAAAAAGAATTAAATAAAATTCTTCACAAGAATTCAATTATTTTTATAAATAATAAAATTTTTCTCAAAAATTCAATTATTTTTTTAAAAAATTGGTAAATTCTGGAATTCTTTCTTTAATTCTTTACAATTATTCAATTATTTTCCCCAAATAATAAAATTTTCACGAGTATTCAATTATTTAAAAAGAATTAAATAAAATTCTTCACAATTATTCAATTATTTTCCCCAAATAAAAAAATTTTCACGAGAATTCAATTATTTAAAAAGAATTAAATAAAATTTTCCGCAAGAATTCAATTATTTTTTTTTTTTTAATTTGTGAATTCTTGAATTATTCTTTTAATTCTTTACAATTATTCAATTATTTTCCTAAATAATAAAATTTTCACAAGTATTCAATTATTTAAAAAGAATTAAATAAAATTCTTCACAAGAATTCAATTATTTTTATAAATAATAAAATTTTTCTCAAAAATTTAATTATGTTTTTAAAAAATTGGTAAATTCTTGAATTCTTTCTTTAATTCTTTACAATTATTCAATTATTTTCCCCAAATAATAAAATTTTCACGAGTATTCAATTATTTAAAAAGAATTAAATAAAATTCTTCACAATTATTCAATTATTTTCCCCAAATAAAAAAATTTTCACGAGTATTCAATTATTTAAAAAGAATTAAATAAAATTCTTCACAAGAATTCAATTATTTTTATAAATAATAAAATTTTTCTCAGAAATTCAATTATTATTTTAAAAATTAATAAATTCTTGAATTCTTTTTTTAATTCTTTACAATTATTCAATTAAATTCCCGAAATAAAAAAATTTTTACGAGATTTCAATTATTTGAAAAGAATTAGATAAAATTCTTCGCAAAAATTTAATTATTTTTATAAATAATAAAATTCTTCTCAGTAATTCAATTATTTTTATCAAAAAATTGAAAAAATTCTTTCTTTAATTCTTCAGAATTATTCAATTATTTACCCAAATAATAATGAAATGTTACTAACATTTCAATGTTTAATTTATGTTCTCAACGAATGAAATCCGTCTAACCGTAAAATTTTTCACAAGAATTTAATTATTTAAATAAAATAAATAAATAAAATTCTCTCACAAAAATTCAATTATTTTGATAAATAATAAAATTCTTCTTAGGAATTGAATTAATTTAAAACCGAATTGATAAATTCTTTATAAGAATTAAATTTTGAGAAACATATTCAATTATTGAATACATTATTATTTTTTTATTTTTGTTGAATTTCAGTTGAATTTTCGAATAAGAATTGATTTAAAAACTAATTTCAGTTGAAATTTTAGTTAATAAATTGAATATTAAAAGCGTTATTGTACAATTTTTTTTAGAAATAACTAAATTTTAAAAGATTATTAAATTGAAATCATTGAAAATTTTAATTTTTGTAAAACTGTATAGTAACATTTAAATTTTTACTTTGAAAAATTATTTATTTATTTTTCTTGACTACTGTGAAGAATTTAAATTATAAATTTTACTAAATAATTTTTTTTTTTTGCTTACTTTTAAAAATTACTTTCAAATACAATTATTGTATTTTTTAGGATAAAAATTTATAAAATAATTAAATTTTTTAATAGAATTAAGGTTCTCAGCAGGATTAGAATAAAAATAAATACAGTCAGGTCTCGCAAAGTGTCGTTTTCAGTAAGTTTCATGATTCACAAAGTATCGTCATTCGAGACTTGACAAGTGTCAATTCCCCCCCCCCCTCTTTTTTTACCCTCTCCAATGCGAAAAATACTAAATCAAATTTTTGTGAATCGACTAAAACAATTTTTTTTTATTAGTTAAAATTAATTTTTGAAAGCTACTTTTTTACTATACTTTTTTCAGCATTAGAACTATACTTTTTAATACTTTTTTAAAAATTAATTATTGAGTGTGAAGCCTGTGAATGCAATTTTTATTTAGTGGTACCAAACAAAGATTGTATTTAGTGGTCCTAAACAAAAATTGTGTTTGGTGGTTCTAAATAAAAATTGTGTTTTGTATACAACTAAGTAAAGATTTGCATTTAGTGATTCACAGGAAAAACGGTAATCTAATTTTAAGAAGATCCTACTTATATAGGAGCCAAGAATATTCTCCACTTAAATTAAGTGGCCCCATATTTAAATTAAGTAGGAAATATTTTTACAATGAGATTGATGTTCTTATTGTAAGAATATTTCCCACTTAATTTAAGTGGGGCCACTTAATTTAAGTAGGGAATATTTTTGGCTCCTATTTAAGTATAGGAGCTTCTTAAAATTAGATTACCGTTTTTTCTGTGTTCTAAATAAAAATTGTATTTATAGTGGTATTCTAAATAATTACACTTAGTGATGCTAAATAAAAATTTTGTTTGGTACCACAAAATAAAGATTATATTTAGTGGTATACTAAAAAAGGATTTCATTAGTGGTTCGGTGGTTCTAAATTAAAATTGTATTTAGTGGCACTAATTAAAGATTACATTTAGTGGCACTAATTAAAGATTACATTTAGTAATACTAAATAAAGATTGTATTTAGTAGCACTAAATAAAGATTGTATTTAGAGGCACTAAATAAATATGGTACTTCGTAGCATCAAATAAAGATTGTATTTATTAGCCCTAAATAAAGTTTGAATTTAGTGGCCCAAAATAAAGATTCTCTTTAGTAGCACCAAATAAAGATTAACAACGAAAACCTCTTTTATCATATAAAAATTTCACAAATAGATCTTATACATATATACTCTTGTAGAACTGTAGTTCAGGAGATGAATTTTTTAATATGAAAAGAAATGAAAGGGGTGTTAACGCGAGGCAATATATTAACATGTCTCTCTTTTTTTCTTCTTCATCATCTTCTTCTTTATTCTTTTTTTTTTTTTTATTTTAAAATGAGGATGGGCGTGGTTGGAAACAGGATCCCGGATTTGCCCTCCAGATGAAATGTACTATCGACCAATAAGATTCCCACTTGTAGCAACTGTTGCAAAACGCAAGCGCCCTGACAAGCAGCTGCTATATGTTGTACAACGAATTATTCTATGTCACCCTCTCAGCGAAGGGTAGGTACTAAAAACCCTCCTGACGCCCTCCATGTTGCCAACATCCATTTTATTCTCTCTCTAATATCTCTCACTCAACAATAAAGAAAAATTACAATTTTTCAATTACAATTCAAAATTTTATTATTTTCAATTACAAAACATTTGTTTATTAACTGAAATTTTTCTAAGAATATCAAATTGAGACAAAAAGCGAATCAAAAACGTTGCTTCGCAAAAATTTTGATACTTTTTTTTTGTCTCAATTTGATATCCTTAGAAAAATTTCAGTAAAAGAAAAATTTATTTTCTTAAACATATTTTATATATATATATATATATATATATATATATATATGGAAAAAGAAAAAAATTCAACAAAAAATAATTGATGTTGTTTTTGAAAATAATCGATATTAATAATAATTATAAAATTTTATCGTATATATGGTATGTGAAAAAAAATTAATCTTCATACTGATCCCATCCGGAGGCTTCGTCTTCAATTTCTTCATCACTGACACCCTTAATTGACAAACTCCATGAGCCATCCTTTTGAATTTTATTTCGTTCCTTTCCGAGTCTATGTTTTCGTAAAAGCCCTTGTAAATCCAATTTCGGTGCAGGTCTAGATATTAAAAAACTTTACATTCCATGTAAATATCAAATTTCATTTTTTGCAAAAATGTACAAAGTAGGAAAAAAAAACTTTCTCTTTATACACAGAAAAAAAAATTTTATTTTAACCAAATATATAAAAAAAGTGTATTTGACTCAGAGACTATACTAAATTATTTATATTTTGTTTTGAATAAAAATTTTATTCGAGAAAAATCAAATTTTATTTTTTAAAGTATCAATTTTTATTTGAATCAAATAAAATTTGTTTCAAACAAATCAAATTTTTATTTGAACCAATAAATAAAATTTGTTTGAAACGAATAAAATTTATTTGAAACGAATAAAATTTTTTTGAAACAAAATAAAAAGTTTAATACTTTTAAACATTTTACTTAATAATTTTTTATTGCTTTATTATTTACTTTCTCTACCGCAGAAACTTTTTTAAAAAATTCGTAAATTTGTTTTTTTTTTCTTTTGAGATCAAATTCAAAAAATTTTCTCTGTTGGATTTTGTTCAATGACTCAAAAAGTCGAGTACTTTAAATCGTTTGAAGAGTTTTGATAAGAATTTTTCAATCGTACTTTTTCTAATTTCATTTTTTTTTTTTTTTTTTTTTTTTTTGATTCTTGAATAAACGAAACAAGTTTTTCTCATATTTAGGAAAAAGGAGATGTATAATAAAAGAAAAAATTCTACAATTTCTTCTGTATTACATTGATTTTCTTGAAATTTTGTCCTTTGCTTTATACTCACATTTCTCCAGTGAAAACTTTTTCCTGTAAAAGGACAATGTCGTGTCTTATGTCGGCTAACAAAAACAATAAAAAGTCAAAGTTTCCAGCTGACGCTTTATGTCCTCTAGCTCCTTTTTCTCCAGCGTCACCTTTTTGTCCTCTAGTTCCCGGAGGTCCTGGAGGACCCTTAAAAAATATTTATGACAAATATTAGTCTTCTCTATGGCATTTGTATTATTTAAATAATTTATATTAATATTAATAATAAAATTTGTAAGTAATATATTTTTTTTTATTTATACAATAATTATTATCAATTTTTTGTTAAAGAGAAATTGTAATAAACTTTAAATTTAAATTAGTAAAAATATTCACTAATTTAAATTACGGAATTTTCGCTTTTAAATTAGTAAATTTTACTAATAAATTAGTAAAAATTATTATTTATTAGTAAAATTTACTAATTTAAACTTTACTGATAAATTAGTAGAAATTATTATTTATTTGAAAAATTTACTAATTTTACTAATAAATTAGTAGAAATTACTACTTATTTAGTAAAATTTACAAATTTAAATTTTACTGATAAATTGGTAGAAATTACTATTTATTTGTAAAATTTACTAATTCAAATATTACTAATAAATTAGAATGAAATTACTATTTATTAGTAGAATTTACTAATTCAAATTTTACTGATAAATTGGTAGAAATTACTATTTATTTGTAAAATTTACTAATTCAAATATTACTGATAAATTAGAATGAAATTACTATTTATTAGTAAAATTAATTTATTTAAAAGCAAAAAGTCTCAGTTACTATAATTTAAATTAGTAAACAGTTTTACTAATTTAAATTTAGAGAGTGACTAATAATATTTATTCTTAAAATAATTATATCATAAAAAAAAAAATTATTTTACAAAAAAAGCGTTTTTGAATAATTTTTTTTTTAAGTAAAGAAAGCTCACAATTGGTCCCCGTTGACATTTGCAATAACCCGAGTCGGTTCGAACAAAACTGTCGAGAATTGGATAGGATTTTTCATTTTCACTGGCATAACCTTCGGCAACGAATTTTAAATCACTTCCAAATGCTTGATCCCTTGATTTTGTTTCCTCGAAAATTGGATCAGCTACTTGACCAGAATAGTAAAAATTAGAAAGTTTCATTGCCGTTTCCAGACTTAAAATTCTTTCCTGCAATTGTTTCACCTGAAATTGAATTTTAAAAAATTTTTAATTTTGCAGTCATTAAATATATATATTTAAATCAGTTGTCATCGACGACAGACATTTTTCATTCAATTTTTGCATTCGAAACAAATCATTTTTTTTTTTTTTTTGAAACAAATAAAATTTTTATTTGTGCCATATAATTTTTTGTATTCAAATGAAATTTTTTATTTTTACTAAATTAAATTGCTATTTGTATACAAAATAATTTATTTTATTCGAAACAATTTATTTTACCATTGGAAACATTTTTTTATTTGAATAAAATTCTTCATTTGTAACAAATGAATTTTTTATTTATTAAAAATTTAATTTCTTATTTATTAAAAACTAAATTTTTTATTTATTAACAAATTAATTTCTTATTTGTACGAATTAAATTTTTTTTTTGTGTCAAATAGTTTTTTTTATTTGAAGCAAATTACTTTTTCCATGGAAAACAATTTTTTTTTATTCGAAACAACTTTTTTATTTGTAGCAAATTAATTTCTTATTTCTACGAATTAGGAAATTTTATTTGCAAATAATTTGTTATTTGTAGTTATCAAAAATTAAATTTTTATTTCTGTCAAATCAATTTTTTATTTTAAAAAACTAATATTTAATATTTTCAATAAAAATAATTTTTTATTTCTACAAAATTAAATTTTTATTTGTACCAAATTAATTTTTTATTTGTGCCAAATAAATTTTGTATTTCAAACAAAAATTTTTTTTTACCAAATTAAATTTTTATTTGTGACAATAATATTTTTTTTTTATTTGAAATAATTTAGTTTATCATTGGAAACAATTTTTTTATTCGAACCAATATTTTTATCTGTAACAAATTAATTTCTTATTTCTACGAATTAATTTTATTTGCACGAAATTATTTTTATTTGAAACCAATTTTACTTTTCCAGTATAAACAATTTTTTTATTTGTAACAATTTTTACTTTTCCATTATAAACAATTTTTTTTATTAAAAAAAAATTTTTTATTTTGTAACAAATTAATTTCTTATTTCTGGGAATGAATTTTATTTGCAAATAATTCGTTATTTGTATTAAATTAAATTTTTATTTACTGCAAAATAAATTTTTTATTTGGAAAAACTAATATTTTCATTAAATATAATTTTTTTTTGTCGAAATAAATTTTTTAATTCTACCAAATTAAATTTTTATTTGTGCCAAATTAGTTTTATTTGAAACAAATTTTAATTTTCCATTATAAATAAATTTTTTATTTGAAACTAATTTTTTTATTTGCAACTAATTAACTATACTTATTTAGACGAATTAGTTTTATTTGTACCAAATAATTTCTTATTTGCACCAAATTAAATTTTTTAATTGTGCCAAATAATTTCTTATTTGTACCAAATTAATTTTTTATTTGGTACCAAATAATTTCTTATTTGTACCTACCAAATTAATTTTTTATTTGTGTAAAAAAATTTTTTTTCCTTGAAACAAATTATACTTTTATTCGAAACAAATTTTTTATTTGTACCATATTAATGTCTTATTCTTACGAATTAATTTTTTTTTCGGTTCATAAATTTATTTTTACTCAATTTTGAATTCAGGACAAAAATTTGAAACAAATAAAGTAAAAATAAACAAGCGTCTCAAAGTGTATTGTAATCTCGCCCCAATTATTCGTAAAATTATATACAATATGCGGAATATAAAATGCGGGGGTGGTTTAATTTTCTTTTTCTTCTTTTTTTTTTTTTTTGTTTGAAATATTATAAAGCAAACCTTGTTTTGTAAAAGAAGGAGAGAATCACAGCTGGCGTAGCATCTAGTAGTAGTAGTAGTAGTATTAGGTGCAGTAGGAGTAGCGGCGGCTGTTGCATTAACTGCTTCATCATTGGCTGCTGATATTTCCGGTTTCTCTCGATCAAAATGCTTCAACTTCTCGCAGGTCTTATTGTCCACGCTTAGAATGAAACCGTCGTTACAACCACAGGAAAAACCTCCTGGTTCATTAATACAAAGCTGTTCGCAATCTGTACTGTTTTCGACGCATTCGTCAATGTCGACGCACACCGGCTTCAACCCTCGTTTTTGCCTCTCAGAATTGAACCTTGACTCCGAACACGAAACGAGAGAAAAACAAAAGCTTCATTGTCAACGTTTTATACCATTTTTTTAAAAAAGAATTTAAATCCACGGGGAGCCCATTTTTCTCGTTATATAGTCGCTAAATTCTTTTTTTCTTTTTTTTTTTTTTTATTTGCTTGATATCAAAAGAAATTTCTCATACAATTTTTAAGTTCTGTTTAAAGGAGCTTTTCTCTTTTAAAAAATTATATTATACTTTATAATATACATTTTACTGGAATTTTTTCTTCTTCTCCGTTTTGTTGCACATAAAAAAAAGCTTATTTCTCAGAGGGGAAAAAATTAATTTAGTTAAAATATTTTTTTCCTCTTTATAATTATAATTAAATTTTTCTTAACTATAAAACATGAAGAAAAGGATAATCCGGAGTAATCCGTTTCTTCATGTTTTATAATAATTAAAAAGTATTATAATAATAATTATCAATTTAATTATTATTTTCAAGAATTTTTAACTAAAATTATTTTTTAAATCGATTTTTTTAAATAATTTTCGAAAAAGTTCTTTGATAATTTTCAAATCGATTTATTTGTTTATAATATTGAATTTTACGAAATCACTCGAAGTGATCGATTTCTTCATGTTTTATAATAATTAAAAATTAATATAATAATAATTATCAATTCAATTATTATTTACAAGAATTTTGAACTAAAATTCTTTTTTTAATTGATTATTTTTAATAATTTTCGAAATAAGTCTTCAATTTTCAAATCCATTTGTTTACAATATATTCAATTTTACGAAATTTTAATTATTCGTAAATTCTTTAACTAAATATATATTTAATATTTTTTTATATTTTAATTGGAAAATAAAAACTTAAAATAACATAAAAAAAAAATGCAATTAGACTTTTTCAAAAAAATTAATTTCAAAATTCAATTATTTCTAAAAATTCACGCTATATTGCTTTTAAAATTCAATTATTATCTAAAATTTTAACTGAAATTAATTTTTAAATCAATTTTTATTAGAATATTCTACTAGAATTCAATTATTGTTTAAATACAAAAATTAATAATTTATTGAATAATTGAATGTTTCTTAAAATTCAATTCCCATAAAGAATCGTTATTATCAAAATTTTTTTAAATAATTGAATTCTTTCAACAAAATTTTAATAAAATTTTTAAAAATAATTACATTTTTCGAGAAATTCGATTAAAATTGTATTAAAACTTTAAAAATAATTGAAATCTTGCGATGAGTTTTATTGTTTGTGAAAATAATTGAATTCTTAAGAAGAATTTTAGTAATTTTTGAAAAAGTTCTTTGAGAATTTTCAAATTCATTTTTTTACAATTCAATTTTACAAAATTTCATTTTTTCTTAAATTCTTCAATTAAATATATTTTAGAAAATAAAAACTTCAAAGAATTTCAAAAATAAATCCACAATTAATTTTTCTCAAAAGAATTAATTCCATAAAATTATAAGCAAAAAATATGAAAAATTCAGATTTTCAAAGATTTTAATTTCAAACCTTCTCAAAATTCAATTATTATTTCTAAAAATTCACACTCTAATGTTTTTAATATTCAATTATAATTTAAAATTTTAACTGAAATTCATGTTTAATTAAATCATTTTTTATTAGAAAATTCTACACGGAAAAAAAAATCAGCCTAATAATGCATGGAGTCTATTGGTTCGATTTTTACATGAGCCCATTTTGCAAATATCACACAGGAGTTTACTAAAAATGCATGGCTTTTGTGACTTTTGCCACAGCACCATGCGAAAATAGGATGGATTCCAAGCTAATCACGCATGGTAGTGTGCGTGCAATATACACAACAGACGCTCATGTGTTTTTAGTCTAGTATTTTTTTCCGTGTACTAGAATTCAATTATTTAAATACAAAACAACAATGTATTAAATAATTGTATGTTTCTTAAAATTGAATTCTCATAAAGAATTTTATCAATTTTTTAAATAATTGAATTCTTTTGACGAATTTTAATAAAATTTTTAAAAATAATTAGATTTTTCGAGGAATTTGATTAAAATTTTAAAAAAATAATTGAAATTCTGCAATGAGTTTTATTATTTATAAAAATAATTGAAATCCTAAAATGAATTTTATTACTTACAAAAATAATTGAATCTCTGTAAAAATTTTATTATTTATGAAAATAATTGAATCTCTGTAAAAATTTTATTATTTGTGAAAATAATTGAATAATTGCAAAGAAATTTATGAATTTATAAATAATTGAATTCGTGTGAAATTTTTATTATTTTTTTGAAAATAATTGAAGGTTTACGTAGAATTTTATTAAATTTTCTTTTAATAATTGAATTTTCTTGCGAATAATTTTATTCAAATTTTTTTAAATAATTGAATTCTCATAAAAAAAATGTATTATTTGTGAAAATAATTGAATTCTTAAGAAGAATTTTGTATTGCAAATAATTCAATTATATAGGAAAATTTTATTAAAATTACAATTTTATTAAACTAAATCTTGTAAAGAATTTTGTCAAAATTTTTGTAAATAATAGAATTTTTAAAAGAATTTTATTTCAATTTTTCGAAATAATTGAATTTCTCAGAACTATTATTTTCAATTCTCTCAATAATATTTGAATCCTTTCGAGAAATTTCATTAAAAAATAAATATAATTGAATTGGTTCAAAGAAATTTATAAAAAAAAAATTGGTAAGAAATTAAATTCCTGTGAAATTTTTATTAAAATTTTGTTTTAATAATTAAATTCTTTTGGAAAATTTTATTAAAATAGTATAGATATTAAAAATCATTGAATTGAGGAAAATTTTTGAAAATAATTCAAAATTTGCCAAGAAATTTATTAAAATTTTTGAGAATAATTGAATTTCGGAGAAGAATTAAATTATTTCTAATAAGATAATTGAAAATAAATTTTAGAATTATTTTTGAATAGTAAAAATAAATGTTATTTTATATTTACTTGTAACCGGACCAGCAGGTGCAAATAATTTTTTGAAATAAGAGACTGCAACGTTGTTCGCAGAAATTTAGAGAACAAGGATCTTGTCCTTTTTGAATGCAATGTCCACCAAAGAAATTATATCCTGGACAACAATTTGTCCTTGTGCAATCGACCCATTCGTTTTTTAAATTTTTACACTTATAACGTGTTCGAATTAAATTTGATGATGGACATTGTGTCTCAGATGTTGTTGTAGTCTCAGTAGAATTATTGACAAAATATTCTTTTTCTTTTAGAAATTTTGATTCAAAATTCGCTGTCTTTATCCAGAAACTCAAAAAGATTCTGTAAATAAATTTTTTTAATGTTTAAAATTTAATCAGATTTTTTTAATAAAAATATTAATTTGGAAAAATGTTTTCTATGATTATTGTCAAATAATTTTTTTTATTCGAAACAATTTAAATACTTTTCCATCTGATAAACAATTTTTTATATTCGAATCAAATTTTTTATTCTTTTATTTTATTTATAGAAATTTTTATTTGTGCCAAATAATTTTTTTATTCGAAACAAATTATTTAATATTTAATAAAAAATATTTATAATTAATACCTAATATGGAATAATTATAATTTAATAACAAATAAAAAAAGTAATTATAATTAAAAATATGTAATAATGATAATAAATAATAGTAAAAAAATATTTATACCCAGTATAATTATTAATTTATAAAATTTTTTATTTATTTATTTTTAATTTAGAAAAAAAGAATAATTTAAAATTCTATAGAAAAAAAATTTTTTTATCATATACCTAATAAATAATAACTTACATTATTAAAATTATTAATTTGTTGTTCCTCGTCATTGGTCGGAATATTTTAGAAAAAGTGTAAAAAATTTCAAAACACATTTAAATAAAATTTTTTTCTAATTTGTAATAATAATTTAATTTTTAAAAATTAATAGAAAAAATAAATATTTTTCTACTCAGACTAGCACAAAACACACTCAACTACTTATAGTTTTAAAAGAAGCGATGTACAAAAATAACATAAAACGATTGTAATTAATTGTAATTAATAGCACACCCAGTAAATATACAGTGCCTCATATTGTGTGGAATGAACTAAAAAATGTAGTTTCTGTAAAAATTCACTATAATTTACTTTATAAAAAAAATTTACCATAAAAAATCCCTTCGTAAAATGTAATTAATTAATTAATTAGTTAATTAATTAAATAAATAAATAAATAATAAACCGAACTTTTAGTAATAAATTATTATTTATAAACAAAAATTAAAATATAAATTTTTTTGAATTAAAAAAGTAAAATATCAATAATTGGAAATTTTTTTAAATTTTAATTTTAGTATTGAAAGATTTTAAATTAACTTTTAATTAATTCTTATCCATTAATTTAGAATTAATTTAATTATAAAATTTAATACATATAAATTCGTAGAAATCATTTTATTTAATAATGGATTTTTTTTATTTTCTATTACCTGGCAAATTTATTAATTCACTGTATTATTATTTAATTAAAAAAATAGTTACTTATTAAAAAATTTAATTAAAAAAAAATTTTTTTTTGAATTTCATATAACTTCTGTTGATAAAGAAAATTATGATAATATCAAATGGCAGCACTTGCATGTTCCCCTAAAATAAACGAGTCTGCGCAGATGAATTTATTTGCATTTTAGTGTAATGTGAACAGAAATTTGCTCGATATTAGTACAATGAGTACTACTATTTCCTCTGTATTTCTTTTTTCTTGTTACTATTTATATATTTAGTGCAATAGTGACATTTTCTATGGATTAATATCAATATTGATCATGTGGATCAATAAACAATCATTTGGACCAAGAATTTATAGGTTAGGATATCCAATTTTTTGAGGCAAACAAAAATTAAAATAAAAGTTTGATTGAATAAAAAATAAGTATTTTGGAAAAAAAATTATTACTCTAAAGAAATAATAGTGAAAATGGCAAAAGTTTGGAGTTATTTTTTGTTTCTACTGTGGATATCTTATCTCATGACTATTGCTTTACTACTATTCACTGAAGGTTTTTTACTTAACAAAGTTGCACGAACTGAAAAAGGTGAGAGAACTATTGGTATTTTAATTTATCTCTGCTTTCTATCTGTAGAAATGGTTTTTTTCATAGTTTTTCTACAACTTTTTCTATAAACATTCAAAAATAGATACTAAATCCAAAATTATACTCAAAAGTTAATATTCTATTTTTTTTGTGTTACTATCGAATTTTTATTTTTTCTAATGACTTCAAAAACTTGTTGAGGAAAATATTAAAAATTTCTTTCAGGTGAATGTATTCCGTGTAGAGATTCAGTTTATTGTACGAAAGAAAGTATTTTTCAAGATCAACAAACATCAGCCTCATTATGCATGGAGCCGAGAGCAAAAATAGTACTCTTAGTTGTTGACGCATTGAAATACGATTTTGTAAAATGGAACAAACGTGATACGTCTCCTTCTTATTATAAAAATAAAATGCCAATTGTCAATGAATTATTGATGAAATATCCGCAACACACACGTTTATATAAATTTGTCGCCGATCCACCGACAACAACAATGCAACGTTTAAAGAGTATCACGACAGGAACACTGCCAACATTCGTTGATATTGGCTCAAATTTTAATGCCGAGAATATAAATGAGGACAATCTTGTTGAACAGAATTCTCATAATGGAGTTGTTTTTATGGGCGATGACACTTGGATTAAATTGTTTCCTGGTAAATTCTTACGTCAATATCCAGCGCCTTCGTTTAATGTTTGGGACTTGGACACTGTCGATCAGGAAGTTGAAAAGCGTATGTTTCCCGAATTAAAGGAAAAAGATTGGAAATTACTTGTGGCACATACATTGGGAATTGATCATTGTGGACATAAACATGGACCTAATCATTCGGAAATGACGAGAAAATTAAATGAGACGAATGATCTTATAAAAAGAATTGTTGAAAATTTAGAAGAAGGTAAACAAAAAATTATTGTTACACAGGTCTCGGATAGTTAGAATTTTGTTTTACTTTTTTCGATTATTTTCTAAAATGGGCCTTTTTTTCATTGATTACGCTAAAAATGCGACTTTTTCGACTTTTCTTTCACATATTGAAAAAAATTCCAATTTTCATGATGTGAAAAATCAGTAAAATCTTTTTCTATAAAGAAACTTATTCTACTTTTTTGTGTCTTTTGAAAAAACGGAAAATTTTCAATTGTCCATAAATTTGCTTTTTCAACTTAAAAACTTTTTAAAAAACATGAAGAGTAACAGTTTGAAATTTTTCATAAATAAAATGTTCTTTTTAATATCTGAAGAATTAAACTCTTCAAGAACTTTCTCAAATTTCTAAAAATAATTTATTTAGAGAAGAATTTTTATTAAAAATTCTAAATAATAATTGAATTTCGAAAGAGTATAGTAAACATTTTTAGAAATAATTATATTTCATATGGTTTTAAATTAAAATTTTTATAAATTTAAATTTTGAGTGATTTTAATTAAAAATTCTAAAGAATTTAGTTTTTTAAAAAATTTAATTTCAATGAAAATAACAGAAATTTTTGAATATATGTTACATATTTAATTAAAAAAATATTCAATAATCAAAATATTGTAATAATGAATTGAAAACAATTTAATTTCAGACTAATTTTAAGTAAATTAGATTCTAAAATATTAAAAATAATTGTCCTGGGAGGAGAATTTTTCTTAGAAATTCTAGAAAATAATTTAATTTTGGAAAAGTTAGAATAACTATTTTTAGAAATAGGTTAAATTTTAGAAAGTTTCAAATTACATTTTTTTCAAAAATTCAATTCTCATAATATTTAAATATTTATTTTAAAAAATTATTCAACGTGAATAAATTTAATTAAAAATTCAAGAAAATAATTCAATTTTACAAGAATTATAATTTCAGACTTTAGAAATAATTGAATTTTTATTATTGAAATAAATTTTGTGTTTTAAAAAACCTAATTACAATTCGGAATTGTTAAAAATAATTTTATTTTTCAAGAAAAATTTAGAAAAAAATATCAAAGAATTACTTGAAAATAATTGAATTCTCGAAAAATTTTCTGGAAATTATAAAAAATAATTGATTTGAAAAGAAATTTAGTCAAAAATTCTAGAAAATAAAATTTACCTAAAGTTTCGAACGTTCAAATAAACGATAATTATTTCGATACTTCGTTTAGATTTGAATTTCATTAAAAATACATTTTTTTAAAAAACAATAGAATTTTAGACTGATTTTAACTTTCTTTTTAAAATTTGAAATAATATTTTTTAAAACATAAAATTTAATTATTTCTGAAAAATAAATTCAAAATGAAACAATTGTTTAGTGAAAAAATTTACTTGAGTCAACTAAAACGACTTCTTTTGTCAATCTGAGACCTGTTATAAAAAATTTACAGTTACAGTAAATTAAATAATTTAATTAATTTTTAAAAATTTTGAATTTATTAAAATAACTTTTGCAGATTCGATTCTGATGGTTATTGGAGATCACGGAATGACCGAAACTGGCGATCATGGTGGTTCAAGTTCAAGTGAAATTGACGCCGCAATGTTTGTTTATTCGAAAATCCCTCTAATCGATCGTTTTCTTGGTAGTAGTTCGGCAATTGTAAATCAAATCGATCTTGTACCAACATTAGCAGCTATTTTAGGAACTCCCGTTCCATTCTCAAATTTAGGAACCGTCATTCTCGATTCATTACCAAAATATTCGAATAATTCAAGTTTCGATCATTTGGAATACGCTGTACATTCTCTATGGAGAAATATTGCTCAAACAAAAAAATACATCGATGTCTATTCATCAGACACGTATTTATTCTCTGACGAGAAACTCAGAGAATTTGATTCACAATATAATCATCTTTTAGATTTATTGGAAAATATAAATCAAAGAGAAGAATACGAGGCCTTTATTGTTGAAGGTAAAGAATATTTACGTGTATTACGTGATACGTGCATTGAAATTTGGGTGCAATTTGATTCTGGTTTAATGTCAAAGGGTCTTGTTTTAATGTTTTGTGCACTCTTCTTTTTCTACATGTTCGTGAATGGTCTTCCTGAAAATAATTTAAATAAAGTGATAAATTCATCGTTTCTTCGTTATACAATATACGCGAATTTTGCTTTTATTTTAATTTTATCCGGATTTTTTGGTATGAATTTTATTGCTGATTTGAAGAATTCGGCATTCTTTGGCACTGGTAGTGTATCAATTGCATTTCTTGCAATACTCGTTGTACAAAATTGGGATGTTATTTCGGCAAAATGGTATAATACGAGAAATCAAAAGGCAAAATATTTTGTGAGAATTATTCTCTTATTAACATTGTGCGGTGTTTTTTCAAATAGCTATGTGATTAATGAAAATAAGGTACTTTCATTTTTACTTTGTACACTTGTTTGTATGATGCTCTATAGTGTTCGTGCTGAATGTACATTGGATAATATGGAGAAAAAATCGAAATTTATTTCGCGAACAATGCCAAAAACTGCCTTTTGGACAATTATATTGTCACTGGGTTTTGCCGGTTGTCTAGCTGTACGTTTATCAAATTATTTTTGGCGATGTCGTGACGATATACAAGATGATAGTAGTTTGTGCTCAACATACGTGATGGGTAAATCGGGTTCAATTGATTCGAAGAATTTCGAACGTTTTCTTCTTGTTGCCGCTCTAATTGTTCTTGCACTTTATATTACTATTGTGAGAATTTGGATGCGAAATTGTGGTAATCTTGTTGGTTTTGCGCCAAGTGTTATTTTTGCTCAATATTGTCCCGGTGTTATTGTTGTTTTTATGGGATGTTATTGGGTATTGAGATTGCCAAAAGATGTAAAAGTTAAATTTGTCCTCTCGTGGCAAATTAATGCTCTACCGACGATGATTTATTTTCTATTGATATTGGGAATTTTTATCTATTTTTATCGACCATTGACTATTTATGTATTGCCAAAGAGAAAGGAATCGATTGATGTTTATGGTGGTGAAAATGTTGTTCCAAGATTATTTGAAAAAATGAAGGATATGATTTATCGTAAGAAGGCAAATGATAATGAGGATTTGCCAATTGTTTATGGATTGGGAACAATTTATAGCGCTACGATTATTATGTTTAGCATGTTTTTCATGTTACTTCATGCACTTTTACTTGGATATGCACTCGCTCCGAGTATTTTTGCAATATTTGTTACTTGCATTTCGATTTTGGGCATCACTGGCATTAATCGTTATCGAAACGCTAATAATATTGGTGAGTTTGAAAAGATAAATTTTTATTACTCTTTTTTGAAAAATCTATATTTATAATCGTTGTTTCCTAACATTTTTAATATTTTTTCATTTTAGATGTTTTGAATTTTAAAATTATTCAAGAACTTATTTAAAGCTTTGAAGATTGAAAAATGATAAAAAATCAATTAAACAAAATTGTTTTGAACTAAAAATCGTAATTTAATTCGTAAATTTAATTTAACATTCTAAACTATAAAAAAGTTGCTTATAAAATTTTATTAAATTTGTAAATAATTTAATTTAATAATTTAATTTCTTTTTTGGGGACAGATGAAATGCTTCGTGTTCCGGATTCGGTGCTTCTTTGTTGGTTTTTAACAGCGGAATACTTCTTTTATGGAACCGGTCATCAACCATCGTTCCCAACAATTCACTGGGATGCGGCTTTCGTAGGAGTTGACGATAATAATAATTTAATTCAAGCTGCTCTTGTCGGTAAGAATATATATATTTTTTTTGCTCGAGATGTTCAAAAAGTAAATTCTCGTACTTAATTAATTTTATTACTTTTTAGGAATAAATACATTCGGATCGTACATAATTCTCGGAGTAAGTGTTCCACTTCTGGTAATTGTTCCTTTCACGTTCGGTATCATGTTTCCGAATGTAGCAAAACCTAAATTTAAATTGGAGGATGGAACAAAAAAAGGAGAATTGTTACTCTACGAACGTGATTCAGCTTTTCAGTCTTCGATATTTACGGTTTGCGGAAAATACATTCTCTTTCATGGAATGAGGGTGAGTTTACTTTATTATTATTTCTTTTTGTAAGGGTGAAAAAATTTACAAATCACTTTAAGTAGATTTTTCTATATATTTTATTGAATGAAATGATAAAAAATAAAATTTACAGACATTTGGTTGTATGCTAGCGGCGACAATCCATTGCAGACACTTAATGGTGTGGAGTATTTTCGCACCAAAATTGATATTCGAGGGAATTGGATTTTTAGTGACTCTGGGCAGTGTTCTGGCATCTGTACTTTTATTAATAAGAGTCGATTCTTGCGTGGAGCGTCTCGTAGCACAAGTTACAAAGTCAAGGTGACAGTAAATTCTCGACAAAAAAAAATGAAAACGGGTGACTTATAGTTAATAGTATTAATTAATTTTTTTCAAACTTAACGAAGTGAGTCCTTATGTCCGTTAGTGTAAAGAAGTCTGAACCAAAAGGCACAAAATAAGCAAAAAAAAAGAAAACTAAAAAAAACCTTTCAACATTAAGGTATAAAAAAAAATTTTCCTCTTTAATAACTGGCATTCTTAGAATTTAAAACAAACTTACAAGTTTTTTAAATATTAAATAGTGCAATATAAAAAAAAATTAGCGTATAAATTAAAAATTTTAATAATCTTTCTATAGAGAAAAAAACCAAAACACATTTTTCTGCTTCCTTCTAGAATTTTTCGTGTGTCCTTTGGCTCTTACTCTCCCAACCAAAGTCTAAAGACAAGTCCTATAGTAATATATAATTGAAATTATTATATTATATAAAAATAGAAATTTAATTAATATTGAAAACTAATTATTATAATAGGAGAATTAATTAATTTTTAATTATATTAAGAATCAAGTGACTTACTCATTCGTACGAATTTTCATCTTATACCAAATACTCGTTTTACAAAAAAAAGTATTGCATAAGTTTTTCAAAGCGAGGTAGAAATCCTGCAATCACTGCCGTGTAATTATTTTGTACAGAGTTTGTTAGTCAAATACAAAAAAAAATGGAATGAATTTGTCTTAATTATATTATATATAAATATATTATATATATAAAATATTAACAAGTTGATTATTTGCACACTAAAGCTACCCTGCGAGCAATGCATTGCCAATTAATAAAACAAAGCAACGCACTTGATGCAGGATCGCACTCGTATGCCTCAAAATAATTTCGATTTTATTCATATTTTTCAATTCTCTCTCTAATAAAATTACTGTTAATAAATATTAGATAAGATATTATTATTATTATTATTACTATTATTAATATTTAATAATTAATTAATATAATAATTATTATTAACTAATCATTTATTGTAAGGAAAGGCTCTCATTGACTTACTTCATATTCCATTAAATTGCTTTTTATTCGAAACAATACTAAAATTTTACAGTGAAAATTGTAGAATGTTTTCCGTACAATTTTCATTTAAATCGAATTTTGAAAATTCGCGAGAAAAAAAAGTACTATTTGAAAATTTACCCTGCTGCTCACATTTTTGAATCTAATGACGATTGTGATGATGTCTGTTGTTGCCTTCAAATTGACTCCTTACATAGTCACCCCACTCGGCCCATTTTTTACCATAATTGTAATTATTCATATCCTGCAAAAAGAGAGAATGAAGAAATGTAAATAATCGTCACTATTTTTTTTCTTGGGTTTTGTTTTTTTTTCCGAAAATACGACACTAACATTTTGAAAGTCTGGTGAACGGGAATTTGACGAAGGCATTTGAATCTGCAATCAGATTGAGAATTGAAGAATATTTTTTGGAATAAATCCCAACTAATCAATTTTTGCTTTATCGTCTTTTATCTCTTTATCGTTTGATAATAATTTAATTGAATCTGATAGGGTATCTTTTTTTAAATATCTGATCACACTTTTTTTTGCTATGAATTTGTATAATTTTTGGAATTTCTGTTATTTTTCCAAGTCTTTCGTATTTTTTTCTTTTTTTTCAATTGCTCGTATTGAAGACTTGTATTTTTTGTTTATTTCATTAGATAATAATTTTGATTCGTTTATTTTTCAGTTCAGTTGAAAGATTGAATTCGATTATTTTTTTCAATTGCTTCCTCATAGAGGAAGGATTGTATTTTTAATTATAAAACAAAATTGACTTACGTGCAAATTTATTCCACCTCCTTGATGACCGGGAACACTGTTTCCACCAGCTTGAACGGTTTCTATTGCACCTGGTGGCATACTTTGATAACCCTGATGCATTTGCATTTTTACACCTCTTGGAGTTTGATTATTCCTGTAGAAATCTTGGAACATAACGTCCTGATCCTCTGGCACTTCTCTCTTTGAAGCGACATTATTCGCTAAATGTGAAACCCAAAATGACGATGGGGCATTCCTTGCGAACTTTGGTGAAAAGGAACCAAATCCTGAGGGAGATGAAGAAGAAGCAGCGACAGCAGGTGACGGAAATTTGATGCTGGAGATTTTATTTCTTATCGCGTCCAAAAGAGTTGTGTTGAAAACAGGAGAAGTTGACGATGGAAAGAAGGGCAAAGCTTCTCTATTGAGGAAAATTAGGAGGGGGAGAAAACAAGAAGAAGAAAATTGAGGGTATTTCAATTTTTGTGTCTAATAATCATTAATGGTTAATTAATAATTAATTTATTAATTTAAACAAATATTTTAGACCTTAATTTTGGAGTTTAAAGATAAATTCAAATTAACAATTTAATGATATAATCAAATAATAATTTAATGGTATAATTAAATAATAATTATATATTATTTCAAATAGAAAATACTTACGTGGGAGGATTGGAGTCGACTGGAGCTTCGGTGGCGGCCAATTGAGCTTTCATTGCAGCCTGAGCGGAAGTTGTGATATTCTTCTGTAAAGATGTCAACATATCGAATACCTGACCGAGGAGAAGCATTCTTTGTTGAAATGGCATTGTTGCGTCGATTGTTGGCGATGGCCAGAGATTTGCAGCTAAATTTTTCGATGACTTCTTCATTAGAGGATTGAATGCCACTGATTTTTCGTAACTAATAAGATCGTTCATGGTCGATACCATATTGCTCTTTATTGCACCAAGTTCCGTGAGAATTGAATCGACAATTTCGTCTTTGGCATCAGCAATTTTCGTGAAATCGTCCACTGATCTGTAGTTGGTAATTTAGAATTTATTTTTTTACTACGATTTTATTTTTCTATTTCAATTTATTAGAAAATTATTATTTATTAATTTTACTATTTCAATTTTTTCTTAGAATTTTTTTTACTTAAAAATACTATTTTACTTTAGAAATTACAATTTCATTTTAAAAAGGCACAATTTTGCTAGAAAAAATACAATTTTACTTTTAAAAAACTACAGTTTCAGTAAAGAAACACAATTGTACTAAAAAAAGACTCAATTTTACTTCAGAAATTAAAATAGAATTTTCAGATAACTCTTGAGTGGAGAAAACGTGAAGAAAAATAAGAAAAAAGCTGAATACTTTCGAGTAAATTAACTTGTTTATTGAATAAAATGAATTTTAAAGTATTTTTTTAACAAAATTTGTTTCTTATTACATTAAATAAGTGGTGGAAATATTTTCAATTACCGTGCAACTTTGACGGTTGCTGCGGCTGGATTTTCTGGAGCGGCTGCATTTAAAGAAACGTTCAATGCCAATTGGTTGAAAAGTTTGTCCAAAAATTTAGAAACCTGCGAAAAATTGTGATTAAAATTAAATTACAGTCAAATATAATTACAATAATTTAATGAATGAAAATAATTTCATTATTTTAAAGAATTTTTTTGTATTTTTTAAAAGAAATAACGGTGTTTTTTTAAAAATAATTTTAATTAAAAATTATGAATGTAAATGAAATTTTATGAAGAATTTACTTGAAATTTTTAAAATAATCGTTGTTCATAATTGTAATTAAGCGTTTGATTATCGAACTTCACTAGAATTTTTAGAAAATAATTAAAATTAATTGGTGAAATATCCTCTTTTTCTTCAAACCTTTTCGGAGTATTCAGTTGGCCCAGGAATCACAGAAGATGGCAGCCAAAAATTAGGAGGAACAATGGTGCTTTTTGGAACTGGAACATCAGTGACGGCCGGTGATGGAGTTGTTGTGGCGAGATTTTTAAAAAGTGCATCTAAGAAAGCTTTTTTAGACGGAGTCATTCCGGGAGCAGCCGCAGGACCAAATGGACCAGCCATAGGACCGAAAGGACCAGCCATAGGACCGAAAGGACCAGCCATGGGGCCGAAAGGACCAGCAGCAGGACCAAAAGGACCAGCCATAGGACCAAATGGACCGAAGGGACCAAACATTCCTGGTAACTTCAAAACTGGTGCTTTTGGATTAGAAACTACTTGTTCTGCAGGAACTGGTGATTCACCACCCTCTAAGGCGTCGACACTTCTTCTCCGACGAGATGACGTTTCTTGTGAACTAGAGTCGACCGATGGTCCCAATGGAAGATTTGGTGGCATCACTCCATATTTGGGAAGGAATGGATTGAACATTGGATTCACTAGAGACAAACTGGCCAGGGGATTAACTGCCGGATTGGCCACGGCTGGATTAGCCGCAGATACTGCTGGATTCACCATTGGTGGTAACATTGGATTGTAGAATGGACTTATTGCAGCTGGGAAACCGTACGGCATCATGAAGGCGCCGAAAAGTCCTCGTTTCTCATGAACCTTGTAAAGTAATCAATTTTTCCCTTAAAATACTTACATTATAATGAAATTATATCTAAATACAAAAAAGAATTTTCCCAAATACATAATTTTCGCTTCTAATTTGAAAAAATTTGTTTCTATCTTTAAAAAATTTGTTTCCAATTTTAAAAAATTTCGTTTCTAATTTTTTTTCAGGAAAAATAGAGAAAATACTTACGGTGCTTTTTGGTTGATCGAAGTTATTAGCGAAGTCTGATTGAACGTATGCGGAGGAGTCGCCGAATAATTTCAAGAGTTGTTTTTCTGGTTCTTCGGGAATTGTTGCGAGTCCAGGATATGGAGGCGGTGGTCCCACTTCCTTTGTACTCTCCTTCGTTGATGGCTCGTTGGTAAGACTTCTTCGTCGGCGACTAACTGAGAATGTTGAATCATCGACTCCCGGGTACATGGAACTTCCAAAGCCTCCAAATGGAAAACCCATTTTGCCGAATTTTGGACTGAACTTTCCGCCTTTGCCCATTGGACCTCCGGGAAAACCTTTACCCATTGGACCACCTGGTCCCATCATTGGACCACCGGGACCCATCATTGGACCACCTGGACCCATCATGGGACCTCCTGGACCCATCATTGAACCGAAAAGTCCCCTTTTCTCCGGAGTCTGGAAAAATAATTAATTTTTTACTCTCGTAATTCAAATTTTCAATTTATTGAGTATTTTTTTAATTTAAATTTTCAGATTCAAAATTTACTTTTAAGAATCAGTAATATTATATTACTGATTATTATTATTATTAAAGTTTTGAATAATTTTATTTAAAAGTTTAAAAGTTCTAAAAAATTATTTAACGAGTGCGAAGCCTGAGTATGTTTTTGGAATTTTTTTATAATATTAGTTGTTTATGTTAAATTAATACTTTATTAATTGCTTTTTATTTTTAGTCGAAAATATTTATTGAATTTATCAAATAATTTTTATTTGTAGTTGAAAATATTTCTTGAATTTATCCAAGCTGATTTAATTTGAAAACAAGTAATTTTTAGTATTAGAATTAGAATTTAAATAATTAAAGAAAAAGTGTTGAGCCTACATTTTCAGGTTCTACAGTTTCGGGAAAGTTAACTGGTCCCAAGCTGCCGAATAAGTTACCCAAAAATTCCGTCTTCTTGGCGATCATCATCTTTGGGTCAACAAATTTGGGAAACATTGGTGATTTTGACATAAAGGGAACATTCACTGTTCCCATGTCAAGACTTGATGATGGACCCAATGATCTGTAGTATACTGAAAATTTATTTTATTATTGTACTACTCAGTTTTTATTTTTATTATCTTATTACTTAATTTTAATTTTCTCTTTTGCAATTCACACGATAGTTACAATTTTTTTTTCTTATTTCTGACTTAATAGTTACAAATAATTATCAAATTGAAAAACAAATTTGAATTCCTTGTTGGCAAAAGGGTGGAAAAATATTTGCAAGTCTTTTTTCTTTTTGTTTTCTTAATAGTTGTAAATAATTATCAAATCGAAAAACAGATTTGATTTCTTTTTTGTCCAAAAAAGTAGTTCCAAATTTTTTTTTTCTTGTTGCTATGTTAATAGTTACAAATAATTAACAAATTAAAATTAGATTCGATTTCCGTTTTGGCAAAAAATTTGAGAAGAGGGAATATTAAATTTTATTTGAATTCAACTTAAAAGTATTTTGCTAGAAAAAAGAAATTGAAAATTTTTGTTTTCAGAAAAATTATAAACACCTGGTTTTGATGCGTACGGTGCCCATGGTGCTCCAGGTGGTGGCGGTGGTTTTGCTGTCACGCCAATTACAATGGCCAGCAAAATACAAAGATTGGATCCTTTCCTTCGACACATCTTTAACTGAATTACGATTGAATGACAAGAGTCTCTCGATTTTTATACCATTCGATCATTCCAATATTATAATTAATGCAAAGCTCTTGGTATTTATTACTCCAGTTGGAAAGTGAAGTTCTCAAATAATAATTAAAATAATCCCTCTAAATTGCTTTCACATTTTTTTTACACATGTGGATTATAAAAAGCTATTTGCCATTTCTCAAAATACATTTTGCAATTTCCTTCTCTAATACAATGTTTGCGTCGAGACGAGATTATTGAAATTACATATTTTCAACTAGCGATTCATATTTTTTAATCTCTGTATTTTTAGCCTTGGCAAATGTTAAAAAAAATATTTCATTTGAAAATAAGGATGCAATTTTTAATTGGGAATAATTATTTCTACTGTTCTAAATTTATGCAAACATTTTTTGTTTTTATTTCTTTTATTTATTATATAATAAATATTTGTTTTATTACTTAAAGTTTAATTTAAATTTTTTAATATTTAATTAAAAAAATAACACAAGAAATAGCAAAAGTTGTATTTTTAAAAACTTATTTTAAATTATTTTAACTCCCAAATTCTAAAGTAGAAAAGTTTTGAATTTTATTTTAATTAAAATTTTAATTTATTTTAATTAATTTTTATTTTAGCTAATTTCTATTTTTCTTTAATTAATTTAGAATTTATTTTAACTAATTTTATTTTGTTTATAAATTCTCGAAAGTTTTGATTTTTTGAATTTAAAATTCTAAACAGGAAATTGATATTAATTGATGCTCTTTTGTTTCTTTGTCGTTTCTTCTGAGAAAAATGTCAAATATATCGATGTTCGTTTGTTTTCTTCTTTTCGGAAACAATTGCACTTGCAATTGTTTCAAATTGTTCTCAAATTTGCTCTTGTAAATACACTTCGTTAGCAGAGTTTTTAAATACCTTTTCAATTGAATAATAGAAATTTAGATAAAATCTCATACTTCCTTGGAAGTGAATTTCTTCATTATGGCTACATTCTTATCAAGACGTAAGTGATTGTTTTCATTTTTTTTACAAGAAAGCAGGAGTCTTATTAAAAAATGGTGGTCAGGAAAACTGACAAGAGACATTTTTATTTCGTGTTTATCTTTTTCTCATTTTTATTGTTCTAAATATTTTATTCCCACTTTCCTGACTGTTAATAATCGTAAGTTAATTGACAATAATAACTAACGAAAAGTTAAAATAGAAAAATCGTATAATACTTATTTACGATTTAATAAATTAAATTGAATTCAATTTTATTTTTCAAGTGAATTCACTTTGATTTTTCAATTGAATTCAATTTATTTTTTAAATTTACTTAATTGATTGGATGAGTTTATGACTTTATGTATTGGATGAGTAAAAATACAATTTTTCGAACTAATAATTTTTTTTTCTTTTTGTCAAAATATTAGGATCATCGGACGATCCAATGGGTTCGGAAACTTTTGCTTCGCTTTGGTTGTCACTTCAAAATAGTTACGAAGGGACCAATATTACAAGAACGGTAGCAAGACTTTTACACATGTACCAACCGGAAGATGGTCTCGAGGCTTATGAACGTCTTCTTCAAACTCTCTACGTTCTTTTGGGCGATTTTGATTCCCGAGGATTTAAACTTTTAGTTTCGATTATTCCTCCACCGAAGGAGATTCCTGAAGATATAATTGAAGAAATCTTTGAAAAAGCCGTGGGATTTACTAGAATGACCACTTTACCCGATAGGTATAAGTATTATTTATTTTATTATTTATTTTTTATTTATAATTAATTTATTAATTTATATTAATTAAATTCGCAAAGAATTTAAAAATTTGAAAAAGAAGTAAACAAAACATTTTATTTGCTTTTGTCAAGAAAAATATTATTTTTCTTTCAATTGTTGATCATAATTGCTGTGAACTTCACGGTCTTAGTTTTTTACTTACAAAATTAAATCAGTTTTGTTTTTTTATTCTCATTTCAATTTTAATTTACTAGTTTTCTTTTTAATGAAAGTTTCATTTTAATTAAGTAATTATTAATTTATTTAATTATTTACAGCAGATTTCTTGATTTTGGAACCGACGATGAAGATACAACTAGTCAAACAATTAATTTGGAGGAAAATCCAATTACCGAAGAGACGATTGAAAATTTACAAACTGATTTCGACAGTAAAAGTGAAATTTCAGAACAAATTGACGAATCTCCAGAGGTTTGTTAATTTTTAATTGCTGTAAAAATTCTTTTTTTTCCTGAAGATTTTCGAAAAGAGAGTAATAAAAGAATGAAAAAAAATAACAAAATTGAACAGTCTTCAGGTGCATCGTCAGACTATAGAATGAAATGGATATCGACACCTTATACACTGAGGAAAAATGCCATTTGCCAATCAACTAATTTAATTGAGGAAAATTTCAAAGAGACAGACAATCAAAATATTGAGGACGACGAGGATGATTTCTGTAAAATTGAGGTCTATCTTTAAAATAATCTTTGCGATAAATTTTTTTCATTGATATTAATTTTTAATTGATATTAATGTTACTTTTTTTAAATTAATATTAATGTTACTTTTCTTAATTAATACTAATGTTACTTTTTTAAATTGATATTAATTTTACTTTTATTTACTTGTCAGGATAGTTCCGGTGTTTTCAAGAAACCAGAATTAGTTGATGTGCCAAAAAAACGACATTCGAGGAGAACAAGAAAGAAGAGTCCGGAAATGAATACAATTAATTCGAAGAACAAGGAACAAATGTCACAAGAAAGGCAAAAAAAATTCACCACTCTTCAGAATGTAATCGATGAACCATCGAGAAATAATAAACAATCGGAAAAAAATTTGAGAAGAAAATTGCGTCATTTACAGAGAGCAATTCAAGAAGACATCGACAAAATGGACATTGTGCAAGCAAATAGTGCAGAAAGCGAAATTGTTCCAATACGAAAAAAGAAGGTACTTTTTAATTCACCTAAATTAAATTTACTATTATTATTACTATCATTAGTTTGTAATTGAATATTTATTTATTAACGAAAATATATTTTAGCAAAAATTTCTACAGACCACCGACTTTGATATCAATAATAATTTGAGTCGAAGTATCGAAAACTTTTTACACAGAATTAAAGGCGAAGAGGAGACTCGTGAGTAAAGAAAAAAAAATTAATTTTTTCAACTTTTTATGAAATTAATTTTAATTTTATTTATTTTCCCAGGTAAGGAAAATATTGAAAAAGTACAAATTATAACGCCCAGTAATAATGATCCAATATCCGATGAAACAGCCGCTTTTATTGATTGTTGGAAGAAGATTATCACAAAATCAGTATTGGGTAGAGATCCTGAACCTGAGGATTTGTGTTCAACTGATGTGACGAAAGGAAAATCGACTGTTACGAGAAAAAAAGGATCAACAGCGAAAAGAGAAAATGAACGTAAAGTGAATAGAAAAAAAATGAATAACTCAAAAAGACAAAAACGAGAAGATAATTCTTCCAATAGAAATGAAAATTCGAAGGAAAGCGAAAATTCACATTCCGATTCTTTAAACAATAGTGAACAATTAAGTAACTCTGATTTTAATAATATTGTTATTGAGGAATCTAAAGTAAGGTATAAATAATTTTTTTTACACCCTTGCATTTTAATGATTTTTAATTAGTATAAATAATTATTTTTTCTAATTAGTAAATAATGATAATATTCTTTGTGACGAATTTAATTAAATAATTTTTTTTTAATTTTAGATCTCGATCGAATTTGGGAAATGTGAAAAAAAACGAAACGGAATTAATGGATTATAGACAATATTGTGATTATATGCTGAGTATTCAAAACACAGATGGTTATTATTATGATTAAAAATTTATAAAATTTGTAAAATTTATATTAAATTAATTTTTTTTCTGTCTTTGCAGAGATGTCAGCTTCAAGTTCCAGGGAATATGATAACAATCAATATTATTTTGATTATTTACAAAGGGAATATCAATTATTGGAACAACGACTCTCAATGGGAATTGCGCTACCAAATGATTCACAATTTTCCCATTCATCTTCGATTTCGAATCATCAATTAAACACAGATTCTTGTTTAAAATCAAAATCGAAAAATTGGAATTTCCCGTCTTTTAAGCAATCTCAATGTCCTCAGCACGTACGTTTTTCAATTATTTTCAAATTAAACATTTCCTGGCCTCGGATAGAACGAATTTTTGTATTTTTTCAACTATTTTCAAAAAAGCGACTTTTAAAATTCAATTATTTCTATTTTCAATTATATATTTCCGAAAATTCAAATATTTACAAAACGTATTAAAATTAATAAATTTAATAATTAAAATTTTTTGAAAAATCAATTTTTTTAGAATTATTGTTAAAATTTCGAAGAGAATAATTATTTTCAAAATGTTTTAATTATTAGTTCTTCAAAAAATTGATGAGTTTTTTAAATTGTCCAAAAATCCTTTTAAAAATTCAATTCTTTTCGAAAAATTGTAATATTTTAAAAAACTTAATTCTTGTAACTTTTTCAATCATAATTTTTTTAAAACTCTCTTAAAAACAATTGATTTAGAGAAAAGTTTAGTTAAAAATTCTTAGAAATAGTTCAATTTTGTGAGGCATACAATTTAAATCTTTAGAAATAATTGAATTTCGCATTGTTTGAAATAGAAATTTTAAAAATTTTAATTCTTGTGGAGAAATTAATAACATTTAAATATTTTTATTTAACAACTTTTTTGAATTTCTAAATAATTGAATTTAGAAATCTGAAAGATTTTCGTGACAACAATGAAAACTATTTTTTAAATTAATTTTCAGACGTACAATTAAAATTTATATTTTATCAATTTTTCAGCATCGTAGTACATCTGCAGAGAATTCTTCAGTTTACAAGTAAATTTTCAATATAAATAAATAAATAAATAAGATTGATTTTTTCAAATTTTTTTCTTATTTATGTGGAAAAATGAAATATTTAATAACTTTCAGATAAATAATTAAAATTTTAATCTTTTTTTCAAACAGTTTTGTACCCGAAGAAAATGTTAGTATAGAAATAATAGATTGCGAAGAACATGAATTCAATCAACTTGCAAATGATCCAAATGTCGTGCAACAGAATTTAGAAGATATTTTTCTTGTTGTGAAGGACTCTGAAAATGTTAGTATAAATTCAAGTACAAATTAGTCTATTGTCAATTATTAACTATTATTATTAATTTATGTTTAATAATTAGTGAAGAAATGTTTAATACGAAAATAAATTTTTTAATTGTGACTTTACTAAAGAAAAGCGATTATTGTAAGTACACTGGAATCTAGATCGGTGAGACTAATCGGGGATGGCTTCTCACCGATCTAGCGGATTAGTTGAGACTGAGAAGCAACACAAACAGGGCCGTACGAAGTATTTTTTGTTTGCACCATTCTTTTAAAAAATAATTCATGTTAGAAAATTAATATAAATAACAAAATATTATAAAACATTATACAAAAATAAAATGTATTTATATTAAAAAGAAAAAAAAGTAAATAATGATGAAGTTATCAAATAAAATAAATAGCATCGGGCACTGAGAACCTTTTTCTTCTACAATTAGGCACGGCATTGATCGACATTTGAAAGTCCCCGCTAGCCCTCCACCTTTCCTCGCCTACAAACTATATAAACAGAGTCTCAACGATCCCGAGCTCACCGATCTAGATTCCAGTGTAATTTAGAATTAATTTTTTTGATTTATTCTTGTATTCTTTAGTTTCTTTAACTGAAACTAAAATTTAATTGTATTGTAAGTAATTTAATGTCAATTCTTTAATAATAAATTTACGAATATTTAGAATTAATTTTTTAGTTTATTTAATTAAAAAAGTAAAATTAATATCAAACAGGTTAAATTTAGAAAAAAACACTGAAATTTTAATTGAAATAATACACTGTCATTTATTACATTACTAATATTTATTACAATCCTAAATGAACACGTATTTTTTAAATTTCAATTTGCTTCACTTATTGAAATTAAAAATCGTATTCTTTTTTTGAATTCGATTTTTCATTTCGATTAGGTATTTACACACTAATATTGTATCAAAAAGACAATGTAAACGATATTGTTATATGTAACCAATGATATTTCGCCCACGACGGTTACAGAAAGTTGAAGTGGAAGTAAAAATTATTTGAAGAATTATTGACAAATATTTCGATAATTGAGAATTAAGAAAACATTAATAATATTATTATATTATTAATAATTAATAATTAATAATAAGTCGTTGAATGATAAATTTGAAATTGAAAAATTGGATTGTACATTTAATGCGATATGTATACACTAAAAAATAGACTTAATGCCACTAATATAATTAATAATAATGACTAGCAAACATTTTTTTTTCGTTTTAACATCGTATTAATTGTCAATTAAACACGACGACAATTAATTCGTTTGTTATTTAGCAATTAACACGACAGTGAATTTATGTCTATATTGCGCATATTAGCACAATTAGGCATTTTTTTCTCGACACAAAGTATTTTTTTAATATTCACAGAGAATTTTTATTCTCGTTTATTTTTTTATATAATTACATATATGTTTGAAACCAATAATTTCTGTACAAGCACATTTTGTACATAGCTACGCACATTTTTTTTTAGTAATTCGAAAAAAGCTGTTTTTAAGCCAATAAAACCGATTTATGGGAATTTTTTCCTGTTGATTGTCGGTGTTATTGTTTAAATTTCTTTAAGTACAAGGCATTTTTTTTGTTGGCTGGCTTTTTAATTTGTAACTTTGCGCTTTCTCGTTTCGTTTAATCGGAATCGTTCTTTTTTATTCTAATATTATTGAGCTCTATCTATAATAATTGAAAATAAAATATTTACACTTTGCTTAAAAAGTTGGATAAAAAAATTCTAAATACTTCGAGATTTCGTGTTATTTTTGACGAGATTTCGTGTAAAAGTGTAAAAATTGAAAAATTAGCTAATGAGAATAAAAGCGAGTGATATACTTATAAAAAAAAGTAAAAAATACTGAACAAATGACTAGATTTTAATTCGTTTTTCTTTAGCAATCTTTTGCACGAGTTAAATCTCAAGTTTATCTACAATCATTTTTTGAGTTTGACAATTCTTTTTGTACTTTGAAATAAAATTTGTTTTTTTCCAATTTGAAAAAAAATTAAAGATTCTGCGAATTTTCCCACTGGGTAGAAAATTGTCAATTCAAAAAATAATTGTTAACTTTAGTCAAAAGAGAAAATTAACCTGAGATTCACTTTTTTGCTAAAACTTAATCTAAAACTTAATTATTACAAAAATGGAATGTAATATATTAGTTTTACTTATTTCGTTTTCTTTTCTCAACAGCTTTTCGATAGTGCCATTTTTCTTTTTTTGCGAAACACACACCAAAATTGGCAGTTAAAAATGTACAAGGCTTAATACTTTATACAGTTTTTTTTCAATATTATTTCGGGAAGTACTTAAACGGCGGTTTACACAGAATCTTAAAGTATATTTTTTAAATACAAAAAAGATTCTGAAGAAAAAATGACTGAATTGAAAAATTTTCCATTCGAACAATTTGTTTTTCTTCACACAAAATCAAATTTTTGTCACACACACACTTAATGTAATTTAAAAAAAATTCACAGCAATTATTTTGTTCAAATACAATCCGAAGAAAAATGAAAATTTTGGAAAATATTTCAGTCATTTTCTCTAATTTCTGTTGATTGTCGCCAATATATAAATTTTCTTTAACACACAATTATTTTCGGTGATTCTGTACATGAAAGAACTTTTAACCACTTCGTTGAATTGCATTTTTCACTGTCGTTAATTGAATTTATGAAAGTATTTGCAAAGGAAAAATTCAATTGACAACTGTGAATTTATATTTAAATTGTAAAAGTTCGATTATTTTTTTTTCTTTAAGCAAACGTGTAGGGATCGACAGTTTTACTGGAACATGGTTGTACATCGTCTGGTGGTGGTCGCCATTTTTCAGTCCACATTGAAGTCTTAATTTCAGTGATATCAATTGCATCGGATTTGGAGATATTTGCTGCCGCTGCTGCTACTGCTGCTGCTGCCATTGGTTCGGCAGCCTCCCAATTTAAACCATTTTCAGTGACTTCAATTTGACGTGTTTCCGTTGTACTCCAATATGCTTGAATATCATTGCTTTGTGATTTCGATGTTTTTACAGTTGATGATGATTTTGTGGCGGTATTTTTTGGCGTCGAACGCGATTGCGGTCGATCAATGTTTTTTAATGGTAATTTTTGTGGCACTCGCCTTGGTTTCGATTCCTCTAAACTAATGCTCGTGCCCGTTTTACTTGCCGATAAACTTCCATTACCGCCTATACTTGTTTCGTCACGTTTCTTTCTTCGACGTTTACGCTCTGTCTCGTTATCGTCCTTTTGTACATCATCATTGTCATCGTCGTCATTCAAGAAATGCTGCCTCGCCGATGCCCAGTGATCTTTTCTGTTTCCCTTTTGAAAACGATTCTCGTAACTATTGCCACGATGACTGTTATTTGCATTTGCATTGTCCGAATCGCGTTTTTTCGATTGCTGACTCTTTCCGGTCCATCTGTTGGGACTCTTCTCCTTCAGGGTCGCCTTGAATAATAATAAAAATAATTGAATTTTATGAAGAATTCAATAATTTTCAATAATTGTAATAAGCGACATTAAAAGAAAAAACAAAGAAGACAAATTACCCCCGATGATGTGGAATTATCTACAGGTTTATATTGCTGATTGACCGAGTCCTCGTGACCGGATTGAGCTTTACATGTGGTTCGTCCACGACCGTGAATCCAGGAGAGGAGAAATGAGAGTAAAGCGCACGAGAGGCCCAATCCAGCGGTGGCTGATAATTGGGAGCGTGTACGTCGAGGAACCCATCCACCGCCGTGATATTCCAATACTGAACTCACCAGTAACGCGCTGCTCACCACGTAGGACACTCCCAGACCAGTGAACATCCACGTATTCTAAAAATAAAATCAATGAAGAAAAATCGTCCAATATGAGCGAAACCATCTTCTAAAATGTATATTTTGTTTGAATAATAATTAATCATTTACCAATCTAGGCCAATTGAGAGGGAAGAAATAGATGATGTGCGAAATATCGAGAAAGAGAAGTAACGATGTGACTAGTAGACAAAAGACGGCAACGAAGATCATGAATCTTAATCGTCCAACGAGGGGCAGCATAAAAAGACTGACCTTCGCTGTTCCTGAACTACATAACGTCACTAAGCAGGCTGCCGACGATATCTGGAAAAAAAGTGACCAAAAACAATTACTTCAAAAATTTCTTTTCAAACTAGAGAAAATTTTAGAACAAGAATAGAAAAATTGCAAATTCCATACAAGCAGCAAAAGTCGAATAACGCCAGTAGATGTTTTCAGATGACCTTGAATATCGCAGTATAATACAACGTGACTGCTTCGAGGCCATTGCAATCCATTTAAAGATCCGTGCCTCCCTTGACCACAATGATAATTTGCGTGTGAGTCCCATGAATGAACCGTTGAATGGATTCCCGGCGAATCCAGCTCCGAAGATTGGGAGCTGATTCGCCCCCCTGTTCTGCTCCCCGCTGAAAAGCATTTTTTTTTATTAATTTCAATTCCATCAAAATACAGCCCTTAAAGAGTTTTTTTTAGAAAAAATTACTTTCTTTTATTTCAACAATGTTGAATTTTAAAAAAGCATTCTGAAAATTATTTTAATTAATTAATATAGAGAAAAATTTTAATTAAAAATAAGGATTCAAATAGTGTTCAATCAAATCAATCAAAACTTATTAAAATATTTCTATTTTTCTTTAAATTTAATCATTTAGTTAATCTTTAAATTTTAGTAGTATTCAGTTAATATTAATTAATAGTAGTTGATAATTTAATTAATAATAGTTAATAATAATTAATTTAGTTCTTTCTCTTCTTTTACTATTTGAATCGTTTGTATTTTCAATTTAATATATTTTAATTGTAAAAACAATGAAAGATACCAATTTCGAAGTCTTGAATGTCCTCGGGTCGTGAGTATGCACTTGGTGGCTCCAAGTCGCGAATTTCTTCTAAAAGAAGTACCTCTATTTCATCGGCTGCATATAAATCCGAGACAGACCGAAGATGATGCCGAGAATCGCTCATCACTTAGGCGTGCTAGCACGCTCGCTCCTGCCTTCTTGCCGAGCTTTTGATTCACTTGGCATACGAATGCACAACATTCGTCAACTGCATATGCCAATAACGAATCCATTCATTCAATTCAATTCCTGATAATTTAAACTCCCATTGTCATTTTCTTTCATCCTCCACTAAAAATACACGTAATTATTGTAATTAATTTTTCAACTTTAGAAAAATTTATTTACAAAATACGTACTTACATAAATAAAATATATAAAATAGAGAAATTTATAAAATTTCGAATTTGTAACTTAAAAATAATTTACGAGAGAAAAGTTGTAATTTTACATTACGAGAATATTCAACATTTTGGAAAACAATTCCGGAAAGAGGTTAACAATCAACAAACATACTTTTTGTCCTTGTGTTCTAAAAACTAATGAAGAGAAAAGTCGAACAATTCAAAGAAATTAATAAAAAAAAATATCAATTAACAATAGAATTGAATTGCTAAGAAAATTACAAACAAAATTTAAAAAATAGGACATTTGTTGTGTCTAAACGCCCAACATGCGAATATTATCGTATACAATTTTCAATCAGTAAATATTTTGCATATTTTGCCAAAAACATCTTTTTTGAATTTTCTACTTTATTTTAACTCTCTACTTTTTATTATTAACTATAAACGAAAAGAAAAACAAGCAACAAAACGCAATGTTTCGACAAAAAAACCTCAAATTCGAAAACGGCGTGTTTGTTGTTTTACTTTGAAATAGAATTCATGCTGTTAAAAAAAGATACAAAAAGTTACAAAAAGAAGATAAATAAAAGTCTCACCCTCTCAACTAATGTTATTCATTAAATAGCATAAAGATCACATTTTTTTTCATGTTTTTTCTAAATAAACTTGCTGTCAATTCGAAGAACAGCCGCCATTGTCCGTCCATCCATCACATTTCGCGATTACATCCGATTCTCTTTTTATATAGATACATATATACTTATAACCCTGGAAGACGACCTAAAAACGAAAAACGTTTATTGATTTAATTATTGTATATTAATTCCGAATTAAATAAAAAAAACAAGTATTTTCTTTAAAATTTGTACGAAAAAATACAATTTTAAGTTAAGAACTGAAATATTTCCTTCCACTTTTATTAATTAATTTTTACCTATACCGATTTTTCGGTTTATTTATTTGTTTGAATTTTAATTTATATTTTAAAACTAAAAGTATTTTTTGAAATTAAAATAGAAATTCAATAGTATTCAATAGATAATTGTTGATAATTCCTGTTAAGAAGGGAGTAAAGAAAATAATAATATTTTTAGAACAATAACAAACATTTGTCAATTTGACAGTTAATATCGATTTCTAACCTCAAAAAATCGTTGTTTCAAAAAATGAAGAAAGTTTGCAACAGTGAGGAAAGATGGCGTTTGGTTAGAAAGCTATATTTTTGAATTTTGACGATTTGGACTAGGAAATAGGAATTTTAAAAAACTGGAAGAATATAAAAACAAAAGAATAATAAATAAAAAGTATGGTAAAATATTTTTACTTGTGATCCTTGTGAATATTTATAATAGAAAATAAGAAGTAAAAGAATTTAAGAATTTTCTACTAGCGGATGATTTATAAACTAAATTTTTGTGTCGTCTGCAATCTGCGTCGACTGCTATATTCAATATGGCTGCCACGTTTGATCTGTCAAAATGAAATGTCAAAATAGTGTTTTATGATATAATCAAAAAGTGTTTGAAAAACAATAAAAGAAATCAATCAACATGAATACGTAGTAAGTACTCGTGTGTTTTATTATTTATGTTTCAAAATATTGTATTGTAAACAACTATTTTTAAAAATAGGTAAAGAGCTTTTTATGCTAATGAAAATTTTATCAAAGTCCTGATAAGACATGACATCCTTTCTTTCAATGACATTTATTTCATACTGTTTCATACCACATTAAATATTATCTACTTTCGCTTTCCGACTTTGTATTCAATGTATTAATTTCGTGACAACAATTATCCAACACTTGATAGTCTATTATCATTCCACTTCTATTGCTTTGTTTTTTGTTATTGTTATTTTTACACACTAAACATTCATAGAGAAATTTTATTTGAATTTTTATTCATTCAGTACTTACCTTAGTTTTAAACATGTAAATTAAATTAGAATAAACAAAATATCGGTGTGTATTTTTCTTTTTAGTGACAGAGGTGGGGCACCAGGTATTTCGGGAAATTCGTTTGACAGGTGGGTTCAAAAGTCAAATATGGACGACTCGGCAATAACTAAAATGCAACATCATTATTGGGTGACAAAACAGGCTCTTTCGCGTAAATTGGGAAAAAAAGATGACGAATGTATTGTTTCATCTGACGCTGAATTGGACGCTAAACTCGCATTATTTCGCAGTATTCAAGAATCTTGTGCATTTCTACAGAGAGTTATTGATAAATACCAGGAACGACTGTGCAGTAAGTAATTTAGCTTCTCTCTTTAAAAATTCTATTCTCTCAAAAAAAAATCATGATTAGAAATTAATTTCGTTTTACTTATTTTTTTTCCTTCATTTATAGATCTCGCGCAAGAAGAAAATGCAATGGGTCGATTTTTAAAGGAGGCTGGAAAACAAGACAAGACGAGAGCTGGAAAAATGATGTCAGCCGTTGGTAAATCACTTTCATATTCCGGACAACAGAGACTTGCACTACGTGCGCCTTTAGTTCGACTTTATCAAGAGGTCGAAACATTTCGACAGCGTGCAATTGAAGACACTCTGCAAAATGTTCAATCTTTGGAGAAAGCAAGAACCGAATATAGAGCCGCACTCAATTGGATGAAAAATATCTCCCAAGAATTAGATCCCGATACTACCAAACAATTGGAAAAATTCCGAAAAGTACAAACTCGAGTTCGTCGGTACTGAAAATTTTTAACTTATTAATTATTTAAATAATTATTAATTAAATTCGAAGATGTGAAAATATGTAAATTTTCTTTCAGTGGTAAAGCATCGTTTGACAATTTAACTCTCGATTGCCTGCAAAAGGTGGATCTTCTAGCAGCAGCTCGATGCAATATGTTCAGTCACGCATTGGTTTTATATCAAAATACTCTTTTGAATTTTACCAAAAAATCGACGCAAGCTTATTCGACAATAGCGAACAGTTTCAAAGGCTATCAACGTTATGATTTTATGGTCGTTCGTGAACTTGCGGAAACTTCGTCCAAATTAGCGAGAGAAACAGGTGGCGATGACGATATTGACGATAAAGACAAGTATGCTTCTTTTTACAAATTTTTTTATACTAACAGGGCTGCCACGCAACCTGGAAATATCAGGGAATTTTATAAACCTTGGAAAATTCAGGAAATATTGATCGTAATCCTGAAAAATTATTGTTTTCTAAAGTTATTGTTCTTAATCTTGATTTCTGTTAAAATTTTAGACTACTAAAAATTATATAGTTTTAAAAACCTGGGAAAATTATCGTTTTTTAGCCTGGAAAACCTGGAAAAGTCAAGAACTTTCAAATGAGCAAAAGCGTGGCAACCCTGTACTATTTTTTAAATCAATTATAATTTTAATATAGATATTTAAAAAAAATGATCAATTACTTAATTTCAGATTATTATTCTTCGACGAATATCACGACAGTGTTGAGGAAGCTCAAGAGGTAAAAGCCGACGAGAAATCCAACTCCGACAATAAAAAAGACGATAAACTTCTTGATTTTGAAAATATATCACAAGACTTTCTCGAAAACAAATCGAATTTAACTGTAACGAAAAATGGTAACACTGAGACTTTTGAATCACAAACTGATAAAGAATTTGAGGAATTTTTCTCGAATCTTGTTCCTGGTAAAAAAGAGACTTCGACAGTAAGACAAATTAAGGAGCAAACAATAACGGAACTGGAGAAGAATTTAGCCGAACTTGATTTAGCAATGGATTCATTTAATGCGCCATCGAGTGGTTACGATTTTCTCAGCAGTCCCTGTTTAACGCCACAAACATCACAGAATCCAAATCAACAACAATCACCACTGGAGCAACTCACCTCGGAAAATATCGCACTATTAAATGATATTCTCAATGTTGGACCAAGTACACATAACGAATGGGACTCCGTTGGCGATGATACATTTTTACCACCGGGAATTTTGAAACAGAGTTTAGGCGATGCTTGCATTCCCATTGAACAACAGAAAAAACCACCGATAAACGAACCAGTAAGTAATAATTACAACTTTATATCTTCTTATTCCAATTTTTCCTTTTTTTTCTCAAATTAAAAACATCTTTGTTTTGCAGAAAACAAATAAAACTGGAAAGAAAGCCAATCCATGGTTGGATTTATTCGCAGAATTAGATCCCCTAGCCAATAATTCACTGGAGAATCTTTCGAAAATTAATAACGCTCCAGCTTAATTAATTATTCAAAAAGAAATTTTTAAAATTATGAAAACAAAAAATAATTATAATTCATAATTATGATGTTTAAAGCCTGAACAACATAATGATGGATTAAATAAAAATCTTCCCATTCTTTTTTTCTAAATGACCACAAACAAGGTTTTGAAAATAATATGACGTCCAAGTTTAAGTGCTTCTCGAAAAATCAAATATTTCATTCCTATATTTATTTGGTATTGCCAGAAACATTCCATTTTCGTATAATAATAATAATAATAATAATAATTCTAGAAGTACTTACAAAAAAAAAGAATTAAGGTAAACTTTCAATCAATTTCGTCAACTATATAAAAAAAAAGAATTTATACCAAAGATAAATATTAATAAATACTTTATACCAAAGATTCGTAGCTGTAAAATCGATTCAAAAAAAAGAATTACAACCCGTTCTTCTTATAATTTCACATTCTTGCATTTTTAAATATCAACGAAATTACTTTGTACATTTCAAATGAGTATAAATGTTTGAAGAAAAAAAAATCAACTCGAATAATTCAAAATTCATATTTTGAACAATAAATCTATAACGCTTTGTGTCATGAATGTAAAATTAATGATAAAATTCAAAAAAATAAAAAGAGTCGGTGCAATACATAGTTTTTTTTGTTCTAACGCCTGTTATCTTCTTTAAAATGTTAAGTGTATTATTTTTTTTTTATTTAGAAAGCGCAAAAATTAATCAAGTACTTTTCTTTTTTTTTTAGCAAGAAGCAAGTCGTTAAATTAAATCATATATTGCACGAGTCTCTAAAATGAAATATTTTAGATTTACGCTGTTGCATCTCATGCAATTAAAAAAAAAAAAATTTCTACCTTATTTTTCGAATCTTTTTAAAGGGGGTTCTCTCGTTTTTAAGGAAATACGGATTCACGGGATCACAGTGTTAAATTGTAAAAAACCTAATGCAGTTTGGCAAGCGCTTCTTGTTCACGGATCAAAAAACTGTGCTAGGGCAGTTTTCACTCTGAAAGAAAATATTTTCGTTATTTCAAATAGACTTTTTCTTCCTTAATTATTACTACTTTATTACATTAATATTGTTATTATTACAGGCCTCCGAAAGTTCGACTTTTTCGAATTAAACAATTAAATTATTTTTATAAATAATAAAATTCTTCACTAGAATTAAATTCTTTTAATGAATAATAAAATTTACCCATAGGAATTAAATTATGTTTAACATTCTTATAAGAATTCAATTATTTTTTTAAATTGTGGAAAGAATTCAATTACTTTTGAAAATTTAAATAAAATTGTTCCCAAGAATTCAATTATTTTCATAATTAATAAAATTCTTAGCAGAAATTCAATTATTTTTAATAATTCTCAAAACAATAAATTATTTTTGGAAATAGTAATAAAATTCTTCAGTAGAATTCAATTATTTTTGGAAATTTTAATAAAATTATTTGCAGGAATTCAATTATTTTTAATATTGTGAAAAGAATTCAATTACTTTTGAAAATTTAAATAAAATTGTTTCCAAGAATTCAATTATTTTCATAATTAATCAAATTCTTCGCAGAAATTCAATTATTTATAATAATTCTCAAAACAATAAATTATTTTTGAAATTGTAATAAAATTCTTCACTAGAATCTAATTATTTTTGGAAATTTTAATAAAATTCTTCGTGAGAATTCAATTATTTTCAATAGAATTTTAATGAAATTTCTCAAAAAAATTAGATATCAATTATTTAAACATTTTTTGATAAAATTCTTCTCAATAATTCAATAATTTGCAATACATTAATTCTTAAAATAATTAATTTTTTTTACTAAAATTCTTCAAAAAACTGATTATTTTATAATATTTTCCATAAATTCTACTAAAAAATTCAATTACTACCAAAAAATTATGTTAAATGTTAATTATTTGGAAAATTTTCAATTATTATTAAAAAATTATTTAAAAATAATTTTTAAAAACGAATTTTAATAATTTATTATAATTTGTGAAAATTTATTTATTTTGGATTTTTTTTTTGTTATATATTTTCAATAATTCACCTTAATAAATTTAAAAAGAAATTAAGAGGCGTCGCAGCTACAATTATTATAAGAAATTGATCTTTTGTAGTTAAATAATTGAATTCTCGAAAAATTTTAGAAAAATTATTAAAAATAATTTATTCAGAGATTCTTCTCTTTTCTTCTCTTTTTTTACTTAAAAGTTAAATAATTAAATTTTGGAACGATTGCAGTTTTTTATTTTAGAAATACTTAACTTTTAGAATGTTTAAAGTTGAAATTCTTAAAATTAAATTTCTGTGGAAAAATAAATAACAAGTATTTAAATTTTTTGATTTTAGAAAATTATCGAATTTTTGAATATTTGAATTTAGAAATTTTTAATTGACTAAAGCGACTTTTTTTGCGCCTTAAAGTCGATCCAAGGCCTGTTATTATTTAAAGGTGGGGACGAAAATTTTAAAAACACTGTGAATTTTCTCTTACTTGTCAAAAAGTTGAGAATCCTTTGTATGACGCAATTGTTGCAAAATTCGATAAAGTCCTAATTCTCTTAAACGTGCTTGCCTCTGAGCAGCACCCGGTTCCTCCTTCCAAACTAAATTACATACACAAAATATCGCGGCAACTTGTAATTTCACATTGCTATGCATCTGCGGAAGAAAATTTGACAATTACAAAACAAAAATTTGTTAATGTTTATTACAATTATACGATTCTCATGATTAACGTTTAAATGAACGAAATAATTTTTATTCAAATATTTTCATAATTACCGAATTTAAATTTTACATTTAGAAACTTCATAAATACTTCTTTTGATAGAGGGACAAAATTATTATAATAAAAATTTAATTTGAAGAAGAAATAAATAAATTTCGTTCATTTGAACGTTCAGAACTTTAGGATCATCGACTTTAAGTTTTAAACAAACAAATAAATAGAGAAAGAAGAAAAAAAGGAAAGAATTCAAGTTTAAAAAAAGAGTAAATTTCCCAACGAACCATGTAATCCATGAGTTTCTTGAGTACATCCTCATTGGCCATAATGTGATCTCTAGCACGATCACCATCGGCAACATTGGCCAAAATACAAAGTGCCTGTTCCTTGACATCAGCCGGATGTTCAGGATCCTCAAGTACTAAAATCACAGCTTGCATGACGTGTGTCGCATGCTCACCCATTATTCGATCAATGTGCGCTTTCGTCGAGAGTAAATTTCTCAATAGTCCAAGAGTCTTCATAAGTACCGCAAGTTCCGGATCAGCGAGTAGACGAAATATTTGATCAGTCCCCAAACACGAGAGTATTTGCGATTTCACTCGTTGCTCGGCTTGAAATGCGACATTCATCAATGCCCATATTCCATTAAGACGTAGTGCCGGATCTGGACGTTTCGTCAACGAGCAAAGAAGTTCAACTCCACCCGATTCTAAAATTGGTTCCTTACTTGGACTAAATTCCAATAGAAGATTGCACAACGTACTCGATGCAACTGTCAATAAATCCTCCTCGCCTTCTCCTCTTCCTGAAACAAAAATAATCGAATAATAATAAAGGAAATAATTCTCCTCTTCCTGTAAAAAGAATAAAATCGAATAATAAATAAAATATATATCGAGGACATGTTGTTTGATGTTTCAAAACTTTTATAAAATAAGAAGAAAAATAAATAATATAATCAGGAATAAATAATAACAATCAGTCAGTTGATAGTCTTTTTTCTAATACCTTCTAGTCCTTTATCGGCACCGTGTAATAATTGCATCAAGGGTTTCCAAACGGCGTGGTCCTGAAACGTTGTTCGCAATTGTTGAACACTTCGCGATAGAGAGTGTAAACACCTGACGGCTGCTAGGCGAACACGAGGACCGCCGGGATCTTGAAGTCCGGAGACAACATGCTCCATGAGACTCTGTGTTTCGATAATACGTTTACGAATATCTTCATCGTTCGCACCCAATGACGCAAAAGCCCTGAACGCCGCTTGTCGCATGTCTTGAGACAAGGACGTATCTTGAACCTGAAGAATAAAATTTGGTAAAATCAAATTGCAGATAACAGAAAACTAAATTAGACTAAATAAAACTAAATTAGACAAAATAAAATCAAATTAGACAAAACAAAAGCACGCCACATTTTGCTACGTTTTTTGTCTCAATTTGATATCCTTAGAAAAACTGTGTGGACAATTTTATTAAAATTTATAAAACTTATTGAATTGATTTAAAGAATAATGAATAAAAGAAAAATTTAAATTAAATTATAAGATTGACAATATTTGATATTATCAAAAAAAAAAAAAATCTACAAACCTGCGGATGCGGCCTCAAAAATTCCGCCAAAGTTGGAATAAGATGATTACTAATGGAAGCGAGACGTTGCAAATCGGTGTCAACTTCAGTGAGATATGCCAGTGTTTCAGCGGCCGCAACTCTTTCACGCGGTGGGCGATCGCGATGACACAATCTCACAAGACACGGCAAAGTTCGATAAACAACACGTGGATCAGTGGCCGACAATGCGCCAGCTCTATGCATATAGGCAACACATCGTGCAGCCTCAAGCTGAACCAAAGAACTCTTCTCCCTACCCATCAATTGTCCTAAAACCGCAGGAACTAAACGACCCTGTGGCGTATTATTTGTCGAAGCGGCCGCGACCATTGCCGACACCGTGTGATTTTGATAGCACATATTCGCTAAACACGCCAAAGCCGGTAATTGTACCTCCGGCAATGATGAATCCAATTGAACAGCCAATGTCTCAACTGCACCACCTTTTGACAGTGCATTCTGTTCCTCCGCCGTCTGCAAAACCAAAAATTCATCAAAAAAATATTTTCTTTCAATCCAATTTTTTTTTAACAAAATCAGGCTTCGCACTCGATAATTAATTTTCAAAAAGTAGTCTTAAGACTGAAAAAAGTAGTGAACAACCAAAAAAACTCGTTTTATACATTTTTCTAATTTTTATCAAAAATGTTTAAAATTTCTACGAAGAATTTTATTATGTAATAAAATTTTTGAAAATAATTAAATTCCTGCGAAGAATTTTATTAAAGTTTTCAAAAAGTAATTGAATTCTGGTGAAGAATTTTATTAACTATAAAAAAATTAAATTTCCTCTAAGAATTGTATCAAAATTATTAAATTTCTGTGAATAATTTTATTATTTATGAAAATAATTGAATTCCTGTGAAATAATGCAATTCCTACGAATTATTTTGTTATTTATGAAAAGAATTGGACGTTTTGGAAGAATTTTATTACAATTTTTTATAATATGAGAATAATTTTTTATTTCACTTATTAGCGAATGAAAAGAAGTTAAAATTCTCATGAACAAGAAAAAAGTATCTTTTAGTGTTCCAAATCTAAAAGAAAGTATCCAAATAGTAGCAAATTGTAACAAAATTAATAAATAGTAGCTTTTAGTAGATGAGTGCGAAGCCTGAAAATTTATTTTTTTCTTTTTTTGCTACTAACTTTAATTACCTTGCAAGCGGTGGTTAATATAGTCGCGATGCAAATTTGCGACGTAACCGAACGACTGGCAAGTGAAAGTAAACGTGGTACCAATGATGGATTTTGATAAATAGTGTGAACTGGCGCTGAGGAATGTTGAAAAACAGTACGTAAACATCGTAAACAGGCTTCAATTAATAAATCATTGATTCTTGTTTTTCCATCAGTTACCGGATCAACAAGTGGCGTTGTCATCAGTACTTGTAAAATTAAAGGAACAACTCCAAGATCAATAAGCGCAACAACATGTTGATCTGTCCCTTTTGCAAGTGAGCCCAGTGTAACAGCAGCCTCCAAACGAATTCGATCTGTTATTGCTCCCGAAATATCTCCCAATAATTGCAAAAGTCGAGGAACAACTCCTTGAGCAATGACAGAACCCTTCTGTCTATTACTTCCAATCACAGAATTTTTTAAACACCTGTTTAATTTCAATCCAATTATCATTTTTTTTTTAAACAGAAACCATTTTTTTTAAAAACTATTTTTAGAAACTAAATTAAAGAAACAAGAAAATGTTTCAAAATTTCCTTATAAACATTCTAATTTATTAAAAGTTTATAAATTAAATTGTCATTGAAAAATAGAAGAATGAGAAGATAATGAAAATTACATTAAAGAGAATATTTAGAGAAGAATTTCAATTTTAATTGATAATATCAAAGTCTTTGGAAAGATTGCGCAAAAATTTTTCCTTTGAGGTTATGTTAAACTTAAGACATTGCGAGAAGAGATATTTTAACACTTACACAAGAGCATCAAGACATTTTTGTGGATCTACAGAGTAAAGTTCATCGATATAACTTCTTGAGCTTTCAACATCCTAAAAAAATAAGATTAAACAATTGATAAAAAAACGTCATAATTTAAAAATGCAAAATTTTCTCTTAAAAATCTAAAGGTGTCAAAAGTGAACTGATTTTAATTTGTCATTCAAGAGAAATTGTTTTTAACATACCATAAATGGCTGCATTATCGATACCATCGTTTTCTTATTGTTCTTCACATAAATATGTTCTTCTTTTATAAAAGCCGATGGTTTTTCATAAAAGATTTTTGCAATAAAGAAGAAGTACAGAAAGACACCTCCGCACTAAACACAACACATGCGACTATTATCGACAGTGTAAATGTGCAATTGATAAGTAAAGTACATAATTCAACCACCAGAGCGAAAAATTTTTTTTATAAATAATAATTAATTATTTGTTTTAATATAAACGATATGTAAACAAATATAGTTGGTAAATTCCATATATTTTTAATCAATTTATAGTGAACTAATTGAAAAGTTTACCTTGTTTACCTACAATTGAATTTGATTTTAAAATCTTGTCAGCACAGTAAACATAACCTATTTGTCACATTGACATCAACAAAATACCCCAAAAAATACTCTTAAAATTTTGTATATTTAGTACGATTTATTATTTCCATAATATGTGATAATTGTTATATTTTACAATAACCAAAAATAACTGATAAAGAGAGAAGAATTAAGAAGATAAAACACCTTAAAACGATGGCACTACTGAAAAATATTACACATTGTATGCGAATAGGTTAGTTTTTTAAATTCTAATTATAAATACTTTATGAAACTAAATTATTAAAATAAGAATTTTTATCTTAATTTTTTCTATTTTATACCTTCTTTAGAGACCAAAATTCTTGTAAACGGATTTAAAACATCTTCTGTGCCGTGCATTGATCAAAAATGGAGAAAACAGTGAGTAAAATTTGTTTACTTACTTTGTTTACTTAGTTTTGATTTATATACGTTTTAATTTAATTTTTTTTTTATTTTTGTTATTTTCAGGAGAGGATTAACATTAAATCCGAATAGATTTGGTCCACTGACAAATTTACCCGATTATTCCTTCAAGGATGGAAGGACAGTTCCTTTAGGTGTCAATCAGTCGAAAAGATTAAATAAAAATCGCGAATACGCTGTAAGTATTTGGAAATTTATTATTGTAATTAATTAATAATTAATAATTCTTTTCTCAATCTAAATTTTAATGTCGAAACATTTTTTAGGAAAAAATTGTAAAATTAGTTGGAGAAGTGGATTACGCTGTTGAGCGATACTACAGATTAATAGAAGAAAAGAAACAAGAGAGGGACGAAATTTTACGCAATAAATTGAAACCAAAGGGACAATTATTGTTAAATAAAAATGATTCCTAGTTTGTCGTTTTAATTTCTATTGTTAGTTTAGAAAATAAATTTTATAAATTGCAAATTTATTAATCTCTACTTTTTATTTATTCAAATATTATTTTTGGAAAATTTTAAAATCTGATTTTTTTAATTCAAATTATTTGTTATAAAAATAATTTTTTAATTAATTAATTAATAATAAAATTAATAGTAAAAATACTTTGTTTATTTGAAAAAATTGTGGTAATAGTCGAACCAATGAATGATCGAGTTACACACATGCGCGGTTATTAGCCGTTCTGTTTTCTGATTGGTGGACAAATGTTGTCTACAGCAACTTGTGACTAACTTCAAAATGTTTTTTTTAAATGTCCTGACAGTTGACAGTTGTTGTGTATCAGAAGTTGATCAAAACAAGAATAGAAAATTCTTTTTTATTAGTTTTTTGGGTATTCTATTAATGAGAATAATAAGTGTACATTTTTCACAAATCTAAATGGCCGATTATTTCTATAAATTGAGGGAGAGAGGTCGAATGTTAGATGAAGGAATTAATAATATGAGTAAAATTTGGAGTGCTCCGCATATTCATGTTGGCGGGCATCTAAGATATAGTGTTAATGATAAAAATGAAGAAAATTTAGAAGAGACTGCAAAGGCAAATACAGAAACTGAAAATTTGTTTAAATTCGTCTCTGAATCACATGTAAGTAAATAATTATAATCTCGATTTCTATATTTCTACATGTTTGAACCTGGATTAATTTTCATGTTCATGTCTTAATTTTAGAGTACATAGTGCAAATTTAATAACTAATAATACTTTTTTTCTGTATTTTCTTAATAATAGAAAAATATGCAAAAAGATATGAGAGAAAGTGAAAAAAATTTGGAAGAAATGCAAAAATTTATAAATGATTCCAAAAGTGTATGCGATGATTTAATACAGCAATGTTCGGATATCGAGACACTTTTTGTCGAAAATGGATATGTTCCCCTAAAAGAGGAGGAGGAGGAGGAAAATTCAAGGTAAACTATCAAAATTTTTATTTTTTCCTTTTAATTATTTACTACCAAAAAATTTTCTTGTTTCATTAAAATAATGCTGCAAAATTTCGTTTTAGCAGCCCCAAGAGTGAACCTACAACGAATTTTGAAAATTCCTACGTATCATCAACACCATATAATCCATGGAAATCTAAATTGAAAACATTTGATGCATCAACGCCAACGGAAATGAAAGTTAAAAAAGAATTTATCGAAGATATTCAAACACCTCTGGCACAAAAACTTCTCACAAGTTCAATATTATCCAGACAAGTTAGACCAAGTCCGAGAGAACCAATTTTATCTCGATATTTTAAAGAGTTGTAAATAATTTATAATTTGTAATTTAATATTCGATAATTTAGGGCCAAAAATGCGATATTGTAAATAACAGAAGAATCTCATTTTCTATGTAATTTCATTTTATGATCGTATAGTAGATATTAATTTCTAATATGCAGAGAAAATTAATTTCTATTTATGTATTTTCAATGTTATTTAATAACAAATTTTACTATTTGAAAATATATGTATAGTTTTAAACAATTGTCGATTAATTTTAAATATTTTAAAACTTAATTTATTCCATGATTTAATTTTTCTTATGTTGGTAGTAGCGGAAACGTAACCTCAAAATAATGGAAAACGTGCGTCGCGTCCTGCACGCGTTCTCCTATTAATTTGTTATTTATTATATTTAAAATAGGTAATTATTTAATTTTAAGTTCATTATGCAGAGAAAATAATTTATTATTCTGATAATGGGTAAGTTTGAATATTTCAATATATGGTTTTTTTGATAAAAATCACACTTTAAGTCGAAGAGGTTAGGTTTTAATTAAAAATCTTAAAGATTGATTAAATATTACCTACAAAATGTTTATAAAAGATTTAAAAATGAACGTATAAAAAATAAAATATGTAAATAAATAAAATGTACTTACAAAAAGATTGAATTTTCAAAACTATTATTAATTGCAGAAAAAGAAGCAAAAAATTGTCAAGGAAAAGATGTTTTCGAACGAATGAATTACTTGTACCAGGTAAGAATTTCTGTTGTTCAACAATTCCAAGTTATTAGTCTATTTTCTATTATACAATAAAACTAATTAACAATATTTATTTCTCTCAGGCAAGTCATAAGATTGTAAATAAAAATTTACCCCTGGCTTCACACTTGAGCTCTTTGATGGTTGGCTGTGCGAAAAAAGCAGTATTGCGAATGTAAGAAATGAAAAATTTATCAATTAGTATGCAAATTAAAATCGTTTAAATAACATCGTTTTTAATTAAATGCAAAATATTGTTTACAATATTTTGTTTATGTAAACAATAATTATTATGCTTGAAATTTTTTACATCCGTTTTTTTCTTATTTTGAGTAATAAATTTTTATGTAATTATTTATTATTTTGCTCATGTACAGCTGCTAATTATTTATTTCAGGGAACCAGCAGTAAAAAGAACAATTTGTAAACATTGTCAATCGCCGCTTATTCCTGGCAAAACAGCACGTGTTCGATTAGTATCAAAACCAGCGAAAGCAATAAAGTGGACCTGTTTAGCTTGTGGAGAAAATAGAAAAATTCCAACAAAAAAAGGACACAAATTGTGGTGGGATCAACCAGAAGCAGTCAAGTGTATTCTCGATTTTAGTCCAAAGGTAACTGATTCATCAAAATTTTTAAAAACTCAAAAGGAATCCATGCCTGCAGAGAAAGGAAAACAAGAAGTCGATGATAGAGAATTAAACAATAAGGAAACAAATGAAAAAATTAATTTAGAAAAATTGTAAATTCTCAACATTTTTGAATTATTATTGTTTTGCATTAATCTTGATTGTATAAATATTTTCAAAATAATTTCTATAATTTATATTTCAATTACACCGGTTCTTTAGAAGATAAATTACTTTTAAAGAACCGGTGCATGATTGAAATAAACATTTAATATATTAAACTCATTTAAAGATCAGTAGAAGAAAAACAAAAAGCATTTGTTCTTGATGAAGAAATTATTATTGCTAATTGCTAATAATACTAATAAATAATTATAATTAATAATACTTGTAAATGATTAATAAAATCATTGATATTGTAATTTATTTCGAATATTCATATTCAATATAAACTTTTGTAAAAATAATCTATGCATATTTTTTTGTTTTTAACACTATAATCGCATAAAATAGAAAATAGATTTAAATATATTTTAAAACAATCACTAATGGAATTTAAAACTGCGATTTCTCGACTTTTTCAATTTAAAAACTTTTAAAAATTTATGGAGAGTTATGTTGAAAATTTTATAAAAAAATTGAATTTTTCTATTTCGACAATATTGAATTCTAGAAAAACTTTCTCAAAATTATTTTAAATAATTAATAAATAATTTAAAAAATAATTTTAGTAAAAAATTCCAGAAAATAATTGAATTTTGGAGAAGTTACAGTAGTAATTTATAAAAATGATCAAATTTCACAAGTTTTCCACTTAAATTTTTAATTGATGTCGAAGTTTAATTATATTTAAAAATTTGAAAAATTATTTAACACTTGAATAATTTTAATTTAAAATTCTAGAAAATAATAGAATTTTGAAAGAATTATTCTAACAATTTTTAAAGGTAATGAAATTTCAAATGATTTGAATTTGAAATATTAACAAATTTTAACTCCTGTGAAAAAATATATTACTAAAAGTATTTAAATATTAAATTTATTGTTATTATTAAAGTTTTTGAATTTTTCAGAAATTTTGAAAAATATTGATAATTTTTTGAAGATAATTGAATTCCCGAAAGTAGTTAATTAAAAAGTTGTCAAAAAAAAAACTTAGAATGAAGTTATTATCAGAATAAGGGAAAAAGTTAGAAAGTTTTTTGAAAATCAGGAAAAAAGTAAATATAAAGTCAAATTTTTATACAAATCTTGAATAAAATACTTTCAAAAAATATTTTTTACTTTTTCCTAAATCCAAACGACTTAAAACGACTTTTTTTTGTGTTTTAATATCGATCCGTGACTTGAAGAAAAGAATTTGCTCTGTAAAATTTTTCTTAGAAAGAAAAACTTAGTATAATTAAAAATTAATAGCAATTAATTACTAATAAATGGATAGAAACATTTATACAGTGTATGAATATTTTTATATTAATCGCATACGTAAAATATGTTACAATATTACAATCAGTTCATGATGAAGAAACAGACAATGTCGTCACTACCGGTGATAATGATAACCATCTAACAATAATATAATGACAATGGATTGTACTAAATGCTTTTACAATGATCGTGTTATTTATACGAGTATGAGCTATTCGTACGGTGAAAGCCGTTCGCAGTAACCTTCGAAAAGCGAATCGCTTTTGAACGGGGACGGCACAAGTGAGAAACATAAAAAAAACTTAATAAAAAAAAAATTTCTTTTTCCCGTTTAATTTTGGATACAGCGAAATCGTCTTAACTTTCTCTCTCTCTCTTTCTCTCGTGACAATAAAAAAACAACTTGTAAGCACTCGAGATTCATTGCGAACGACAACATCCTTTTTTTACTTATCTATGATATGACTATGTCCGCCCATAATCTCACCCATAGATTCAAGTTAAATTAACAATTAATTATGTTTCTTAATAAGATTCAATCACAGATTTGTCAGGTTAAAAACAGACGTTGAATCTTTATATTCAACTTAAAACTTATAATTTACATAACGACTAATGAGTAACGGGTGGATAATTTTCCAAAATCTCGGCAGTGTTAATAACCGTAGATAATATTAAAAACATAACTTAGATTAAAATATATAATATACTTTTTTTGTTTACAAATAAAAAAAAAATGAAAACTTTTAAATATACATACTAATAAAATTCAATTTACAAATATTATTTATATAATTATAACGAGGAAATAATTGTTAAATAGAAATGGGCTGGACGGAATCTACACATTTAACTATACTGGAGCCATGAGTAACTGATTATCATCTCAAGGGATGTAAATTTTTCCAAAAAAAAACACTGATAAATTAACAAGTAAACGAGAAGACTATTTTTTTGTGCGAATTTATTATTTCTAGTGCAAATTTTTTTTATTTCTTTTTTTAGTCTCTTCTCATTCACTTGTCGATTCTCTGTTTCTTTTTCGACAATTACAATTGTAATATATATTTATATATATAATTATAATGCATTCAATTATAATATAGTATATCCAATTATAATATTATATACTTTATTATAATACTGTTTATCTAATTACAATATAGTATATTTAACTAGAATACTGAATTATAATTAAAAATTATAGTTATTAATTTAAATTAATTTAAATAAATTAAAATTTTATTTTTATATCCTAAAGTTCTGAACGTTCGGATAAATGAAATTTAATTACTTCTTCAAATTACATTTTTATTATTAATAATAAGTTTGCGTCTTCGTGAGGAAAATTAAATAAAAAGTACTAAATATAAAATTCATTCATTTTGAACCTTCAAAACTTGTGGATTTTCATTAAATTTTCGTTTTAATTAACTTAAATTAATTTAAATCAAAAATTTAATTATAAGAGAGTATATCTAATTATAATAGTTTATCTAATTATAATTAAAACAATTATAATCAATTTCTTTATTTTCATGAATTATTTCAAATTTTTTCACAAATTTCTCTAATTGTTGGTATAAATAATTTTCATACGTATTGCGAAATTTTTCATGAAAATAAAAAATTTTTATAAAAGAAGAAAAAGAAACGGAAAAAAAAATTGGTAAAAATTGGTAAAACAGTTACTGAGACAATTCTGTATACATATATTTGTCGTGCCAAGCTTCTGTTTTTTTGAATACTGTACTTTGAGCATGTTGCTATCAGTTTGTGTGTTTTTTTAAATTTTCTTCTTAAACTTTAGTTTGGCATCGTACACATATATACATGTACATAATATTGGCTATAAGGAATGTATACTTATGGTTTCAATAATATCAACTTTTTTTTTTTTGAATTCTCAATTCGAGTCACTCTCTTGCAACTTTCATTAATGCCTTCGCTTAAACGACAAGTTTCATGATCTCGTATAAAAAATTGTGATGACATTCTAATTTTACTATACGATTATTTCATTTATTAACATTCAATAATTATAATTTCAATTTAAACAATTTGCTTCATTTTAATAATTAATAATTATAATCAATTAATTTTATAACATTAATATAGTATTCAATAATTTAAAGAAAACAAATTGTGATAAATTAATCTAAGTGAAGGCAATTTAAGTATTCAAGTTTCTAAAAAATGAAACACATTTCATTCAAATTCAATTTCATTGAAATGGAAAATAATTCCATTGAAACGGCAGTATATTTGTAAAAAAATCGATTTTTTAATTTAATAAAAAAAGTTATAATCCAAAAGAATTATCAAAAAAAAATAAAATGATAAATTATCAATAAAATTATAATCGCGATAAAAATATTGTAATAAAAAAAGTAATCAAAAAAATTGTGATAAAAAATTATTTTTCTAGTAAAAGATTCTTTTTTTTTGTCCTGGAAGCTCAGTCTTCTCAGAAATTATTATTTAAATTCAAAATATTTAAATATTGAGAAAAAAAAATATCTAAATAATTTTCACTAGAATAATGTTTATGTAATTGAACGCGAGTACTTACACGGAAGATTAACCATACTACCCGGTTATTGTCAAAGTGGCACATCCGTGTAAATGCAGTCGTTTTTATTTTGCATTGTTGTTTTTTTTCGTAAAACGTATACGAAAAAATAGGAAGAAGAATTGAAAGTGTTCCCCAACGTTGAGGGGACAATTGAATAAAAAAAGGTTTTCACACAAGACCGGAAACAAATTGAGGTTGTCCATCGCGATCGAGCGTTAATTGCGGCATCACGTTTGCCGATGGTTGAAAAGTAGAACCTTGAAAACCCATCGCAGCTTCATACATCTGAAAAAAGGGATTTTATTCAGTTTTTTAATCAATTCAATTTTTTTATTTTATTAACTTTTTTATTGTATCCATTTTTTAATGTATTCCTATTTTTTTATTGTATTAATTTTTTCTTTTTATTCAGTTAATTATAATATAATTGAACTGAATAATGTATAATAATAGTAATAATAATTTATTATTATATTATTCAATAGAGACTTTAATTACCAATAACTTAAATTTTAATATAATAAAATAGTAAAAAATTATATGGAATTTATAATAATGATGATTCTATCTCTCAGTCGTCGATTTTTAAATATTTGGAATTTATTAATATTAGATTGAAAAATAATTGACTCACGTTGCGATTTCCGGGTAAAGTTGTATAATCAGGAGTCGTGGGACGACGTCTATTTGGCAGAGGATGTTGAATCGTCGCATAAGTATTGTCTTGTGATGTATCGCCCATACCAATACTTACATTGCTTCCTCGCCTTTCAGTGTTTAGACCTCCTTCCGGTTCACTGAAGACCTGCATCGTCAATTCCTGTTCTTCGTATAATTTTAATTTTCTAAAAAGAAAAACGAAAATTGATAAAGTTATTTAGAATAAACTGATAAAGTTATTTAAAACAAACAGATAAATTTATTTAAAATAAACTGATAAATTTATATATTTAGATTCAACAGATATTTGAAATTAACAAATTACTCACTGTTCAATCCACAAGGGATTTTCCGTTGTATTTAATTCATCTATGATTTGTTTCTTAATCAAACCATCCTTCTTTCTGATGTCGTTCGGAACGGTGATAACCCTACGAATTTAAATTGAAAAATAAGTTTATTTGATTTGTATTTAAAATTTTAAATTATATCATGAAAAATTCAAATTTAATTGTTTCAAAGAAAATTTATAATCTTTTTAGGAATTCAATAAAAATTTACATTAAATTACAAATGAAATTATAAAAAATTATTATTTATCTACTTACCAGTGTTTTAAGCAACAGCAAACGACTGTAACCGTAACAGCACCGACCAAAAGAACAACAAGAAGAGCAATCAAAGCTGCCAAAGCAGGATCAAATGGTTCTTCTTGAACTCCTGCATACGCCGGCTATTAAATGGAAATTCGAAAAAATATTTTATCGAACGACTATAATAATCATTTTCTTTTAACTATAATTAAATTTACTACAATTGAATGAAGCTTAATTATAATTAAATTAAATTAAAATTGAATTAGAATTTTTAGAATTAGAATTAGAATTAAATTTGATTGATTAGAATGAAGTTTACCAATTAGAATTAAGTTTAATCAAATAGAACTATTTATTTAACGAATCAAATTTAATCTATTCTCTCATTGTTTCGGCTAATTAATTTTCATTTAAATTTAACTCACCATAACATTGACAATTGCAAATCCAGCGTAATAATCTTTTAGAAAATCGTATTTGGCGTCAATTACTTTCAACACGTGAGAAATGGGGAATATTGTTTGTGTCTTTAGATTCACAACGTGCAGGTACATGTCACACCTTAAATCAATTCAATTATTTTTTAAATTTATTATTTATTTATTTTATTGTTATTTATTATATTATTTATTTAAATTTATTAAATTTGACAATTTTCAATTTCATTAAAAATTACAACTTTAGCAATCATATTAATAATTAGAACATAGAAATAAAATTAAAATTAGATCTTAGAAATTGAATAAAAATTAGAACTTAGAAATAAAATGAAAATTAGATCTTAGAAATTGAATAAAAATTAGAACTTAGAAATTGGAAATACTTCAATTATCAATTTTTAACTTAATTGTTTATTAATTCAGATTTTTTTAGTAATATTAAATTTTCTACTATTAATTTTCCTCTTTAGTAGTTGAAATTAAAAGTATTGACTTACCAATCTGTTTGAATGTGTCCCGAACTATCAACGTGATATCTAATATCGTCAACAACGACTCGACTTTGCGTTGCGTTTGACAATTCAGCGACAATTTCATCTCGTTGCCGATGAACTTCGGCCGGTGGTCGAGATAATATCACACGTATTAATTGCGCGGGTTCGAAAACCCAAACCTTAAAAAAATAAAAAATTCATTTCATCTAAAATTATTGCAAACTAAAAGCGACAGTTAAACATTTTTTTGAACTGAATTGAAATTCAAAATATTACTTTTTGCTATTTTTCAAATTATTACATTGAAAATGAAAATTTTAATTTTTAAAACAATTTTTCTTCACAAAAAAAAAAGAAAAAATAATTGAATTCCCATAAAAAGAATGTATTATTTGTGAATGAGACTAATTTTAATTTCCCTGAATTCCCTGACCTGTGTCAACCCAGTAAATATAAATTCTAAAATATAGTCTAATAGTTTTTGTATTCTTTTTAACTATCACTAAAATCAATAATAATAATTGATACAACTCACGTGAACTTTTGTAGTGGCAAATCTTTCGGGAGATGCAGTTTCCTTGGCAACAACTTCAACGATAAAACGATCCTGATTATATTCGGCCATATATCCAATGGTTACCAACTTTCCTTCCTGAGTGACATTAAACGGACTCGGCACAATAGAGCCGCTTGATCTTTCTGATCCGTATTTATAGAGATTTGCGCCAACTACATAATACTGAAGTGTTCCATTATCTCCGAGATCGAAATCCGTTGCTGTAACTTTTGCAACTGGTTCATTGATGTTCGCCATTGAGTTAATTCCAGCATAATAATCGCTACGTTCAAAAACGGGGGGATTATCGTTCTCGTCAAGAATTATTATTGTCACATTTGTATGTCCGTGCTCGGGATTTTTATTCGGATGATGAGAGGCACGTGAATCAATATAAAGATCTGGATCATTCGCAGCGAGAATTGAAAGTACATAGCTGTCTCTTTTTTCACGATCAAAGGATTTATTCGTGTAGATACTTCCGTCAGATTTGTCAATATAAAACGCGTAGTCCATGTTGCCTGAATGACAGAAAATATTTATTATTATTATTATTATTATTAAATTTTAACTCAAAAATTTAAAATAGAAATTATTATTATAAAATTTTAAGTTAACTTTCAATTGAAGTATAAATAAATTATATATAATTGTATATAAATTATAAACTTTTTTCTTCTCGAAATTGTAAAATTCCTTCCAAATTCTAGTAATTATATTCATTAATTTGAAAAGAAAATTTTCTATTTCTGTAAATAAAGTAATTCTGTAAAATTACTAAAGAAGATAAATGAAGATGAGAAAATCGAGTTTCTTTTTTTAAAAAAAGGTCTCACCAGTTACGATATAGTAGTAAACTTTAGCGTGTCGACCTTCGTCTTTATCCTCGGCAACGACTTTTCCAACAAAATAATCCTTTGGTCGATTTTCTGGCACATTAAATGAATAACTATCTTCGAATTCAGGAACATTGTCATTTGTGTCGACTAGCAATATTGTCAGTAATCGCAATGTTTCATAGGCCGTTGGATTTCCATGGTCGGTTGCCACTAGTACCAGCTTTAAAAAATATTCATTCATCATTGTACTATGCAATTGCAGTTTTGTAATTTATATTATAATCATTTTTTATTGTAACTTAATTGTAATTTTAATATTTCTTATTGCAATACAATTGTAATTGTAATATTTACATTGCAATTAATTAGTTAAAGTGAAATGCAATCTTATTTATTATTAGTCAAATTATTAAAATAGAAAATTATTAGAATTCTTACCTCGAATTTGCTCTTTATTTCTCGATCGAGAATTATTTTAGCTCGTAACTCTCCAGTCTCTTCATTAATTACAAATTCCTCCGTTTCTTGTACATTTTTATTTCCAACTTTCAAATGATAACCAATCTTGCCATTCTCTCCGGAATCTTTGTCTGTTGCTTTTACTGTCATAACGAGATAGTTTGGCACACCGGCGTTCTAAAATTTTTCATTTATATTCACAAATTAATATTTGATTTTAAATGTTGTAAAATAATCATTTTATTATAAATAATTTAAACTATAATTATAATCTATAATTCATAAAATTGTTATATTATTAATACTGTAATTTATAAAATTATATTACAAAAACTCCAATTTATAAAATTAAAATTATTATTTCAAATGAATATTTATTTTCTAATTTAAAAATTCAGATTTTTTGAAAATATTAAAAAATTCATAAAACTCTAAATTTCCAACCTCGGGCACTTCAACAGTGGCGTTTGTCAATTCCGGTAATATGAATTCTGGTTTGTGTTGATTCACTGATATTACTCGTATATCAACGTAACATCTATCAGAATGTGGCCCCTTTCCACCTCCGTCACGCGATTCAACTTCAATTCTGTAAGTGCCAGTTCTTCCCGATAGTGACACGGCTGGATATAAAATTCCCGTTTCCGGATTTAAAGTGAATGAATGATCTTTATTTCCGTCAATTATTGTATACCAAACGTCGCCATTTGATCCCTCGTCATTGTCGACAGCTCGAACCTGCAAAATTTCAATCAAATCAAAATTAAATACCGAAGATTAATATAATTAATATTAATTTTACTAAATATTAAACAAATTTTATTCGAAAGGAATTTTCGATGATATTAAAATTTAATGGAAATAAATAAATAAATAATTTGTTTATTTTTTGTTTAATTTAATTTAACTGGATTTTTCTACTATACCTGAAGTATAGGAGCTGGTGGATTTACTGGCAGATTCTCCGCCACCGATGCTCTATAACTGTGTTGCGTAAAAATAGGCCGATTATCATTAACGTCTATCAATTTAACAACAACGGTTCCCGTTGTCGATCTTCTTGAATCGATAGGTGCATCATCGCTCGCCATTACGGTTATTGTAATTTCCGGTACTATTTCGCGATCAAGAACCGTCGCCGCGCCCACAGTAATCTCTCCAGTTTCGTGACCTGAAATATTAACAAATTAATTTTTAAATTTAAATATAAACTAGCAAATGTTACGCGCACTAGCGCGCGAAACTTGATATTCAGTTTATTACTATTATGCAAATTACAAAATTTTTTATTTTCAAATATGAATTTTTCAATAATGTCAGATTCAAACTTTAAAAAAAATGCAATTATTAACAAATTTACTAATTAATTATTCTTGTTTACTAATTACAAAAATTTTAATAAAATTAAAGTTTATAACTTTTTTTCAATTAAATTACAAAAAAGAAGGAAATTTAATTTCCATTAAATTTACAATTGAATTTGTTACGAACGAAAGTTCTTTTAATAATTATTAACAAAGAACGTATTTATACATAAAAAAATAATTATATCACAATGGTAAAATTAAATTGGGTTATAAAAATTTTGTTTTCGTACCGATGTTGAAGTCGGATGCATGTTCACCGATTAGACTGTAACTGACGTGACCAAATGGTCCCTCATCGGCATCGATAGCTTTAACAACAATCACATGTGTTCCAGCCGGTGAATTTTCTTTCACCGAAGCATTGTAAATCTGTTGCTCAAAAATTGGATCCTGATCGTTTACATTTATTATCGACACTGTGACTTTAGCTGATGAAGAAAGTTGCGGAACGCCTGAATCATAAGCGACAACAGTGAATTCAAGTTGTTTTGTTTCCTCATAATCAATACGTTGACTCGTTCTTACTATTCCTGAAAAAAATAAAAAAAAACATTTTAAATTGAATTATTCAATCAATTTCATTATTAAAAAAAAATAAATCGTTAAATCAATTTAACTATTTAGAGCTGAATTATCAAATCAATTTCATTATTTAAAATTAAATTAAATTAAAAACTTAATCAATGATTAACTTTTAATTCGTGTTAATGAAACTGTCCCTAAATTATTGAATCGATTTTATTATTTATTTTTAAAAATTGTAATAAAATTCTGAGGTAAATTTAATTATTTCCTAAAAATTTTTAAAAAATTCAATTACTTTCAACATTTTAAATTAAAACTATCAACAAAATTCCATTATTTTTAAAAATTTCAAAAGACATTTTTCAAAAGAATTCAATCATTTACATGAATTGTAATAAAATTCTTCGCAATAAATTATTTTCAATGTCTACTATTTCAATAAACTTTTATAAAAAAATTAAATTATTAAAAATAAACGTATTAAAATTTGTCGGAAAAAATCAATTATTTTCACAAATAATAAAATTTTGGTAAAATTCAATTATTTTTATAAATAACAAAATTTTTCCCAGGATTTCAAAATTATTTCACAAAAAATCCAATTATTTAAAAAAACTTTTATTAAAATTCTTCGAAGAAAAATAAATTATTTTTAATAATTTCCACAAAATTTGTTTATAAGAATTCAATTATTTTCAACACAATTGTAATTAAATTCCTTGAATAAATCCAATTATTTTCACAAATAATAAAAATTTCCACTAGAATTCAATTATTTAAAACAATTTTAATAAAATTCGTTGCTATAATTCAATTATTTTCATAAATAATAAAATTCTTTGTAAGATTTCAAATTATTTCACAAAAGAATTGAATTATTTAAAAAAATTTTTATTAAAATTCTTCGCAGAAATTCAGTTATTTTAAAAGAATTTTTCGAACAAAAAATCAATAAGCTATTTAAAAATTATTTATAAAATTCTTAAAAGGAAATCAATTATTTTTAATAATTTTCTCAAAATTTATTTATAAGAATTCAGTTATTTTAATGCAATTGTAAAATTAAATTCGAATAAATCCAATTATTTTCAAATTTTTCAATAAAAAATTCTTCAGAAAAATTCAATTATTCTAAAAAATTTTAATAAAATCCTTTATAAGAATTCAATTATTTTCGCAAATAATAAAATTTTTCACTGGAATTTAATTATTTAAAAAAACTTTTATTAAAATTCTTCAAAAAAATTCAGTTATTTTAAAAAAATTTTTCAAACAAAAAATCAATTTAAGGAATTTAATAATTATTTATAAATAAAATTCTTGACAAGAAGACAATTTTTTTCAAAAATAATAATATTCTTCGCAGGATCTAAAATTATTTTTATTAAAATTTTCAATTAATTTCTCGAAAAATGTATTTATTATTCTGAAATATTTAATTAAAATTCTTCGAATGAAATGATTTATAATAATTTTGATAATATTTTCTTATAAGAATTAAATTACCTTTAATACAATTTTAATAAAATTCCTTGAAAGAATTTAATTATTACTTTTTTGAGAATTATAGTAAAATTCTTCGAAGGAATTAAATTACTTTTCAAAAATTTTGACAAAGAGGAAGAAGATTAAAATATGGATAAAATTATTTAATATCCATAGTTCTTGCCTTTCGTCTTCGAACGTAATTTAAAATTAAACGATTAAATTTTAATTAATTAAACGATTAAATTAATTCAATTATGTATCTAAAAATCATTATTTGAAAATAAATAAAACTTTCTATTTTTAATAACTTCTCGGAAATCAATAATCGTATTATCATTCTTATTAAATTAAAACTGACTTACTAAATTAATTAAATTATTGAAAATTAATTGAATTATAAGTTATCTAAAAATCAGTATTCGAAAATGAATAAAACTTTCCTTTTTTTAATAACTTCTCGGAAATAAATAATCGTATTATCATTCTTATTAAATTAAAATTGAATCACTAAATTAATTCAATTATTGAAAAATGAGAATTAAAACTTAAATAAAATGTTTCTTTAAATATAACTTGCCAGTAACATTGTCGATGTTAAAGTAAGGACTCGGGGGTTCAATAGCATAGCCAGCGATATTGCTGTCGGCATCAGTTGCAATGAAAGCACCGACAACAGCACCAGTTGGTTGTTCCTCTTGCATCTCAATGGAATAATAGGGCTGCTCTTTTGTCCATGGCTTACCAAACTCCGGTGGCAAATGATTCACATCGATAATGGTGATTATCAGTGTACCTTTACCTTGCTGTAAACTGGGAGCCGTTATATCCGTAACAACAACATTGACACTAACTGTTGCCGCAATATCACGATCAAGAGATTTAACAACCGAAACTTGTCCCGTTTTCTTGTCAACCGCAAAGAATTCTTTAAATGCAACAATACTTGCATTAACCTGTTGACCATTGCGATCGATTGCCGTTATTGGTTCTGAAAGTGCAAAATTAAGAGCCTCAGGCTTTGGACTATCGGGATCAGTTGCTTTTAAAGTCGTGAAAACAGTTCCAATTGCCGTGTCCTCAGTGACTTCGGCTCTCTGAATTTCCGGCGTGAAATACGGCGGCTTGTCATTACTATTTTCCACATGGATCATTAATGTTGTCGTTCCTGTTAAACTCGGCGTTCCTGAAAATGAATAAATTTCTAATTTTGTAATTTGTAATTTAATTTGAAATTTATATGTAAATTAATGTACAGTGTAAATTAATGTATCACTGATTTAATTAGTATTCGATGGAGATTAATTGCAATTGATTATCAACTTGATTTGAATAAATCGATATTTCAAAAGTAATTAAATTAAATTTTGTTGAATAATTGAATTTAATTGGATTTGAATTGATTGAATAACTAAATAAATAACTAAATAAAAAAATTAATAATTCATTAAAAATTTATTTCAAAAATAATTTAATTGTAATTGAAAAAAACTTAATTTAGTTTTATTAGTTTTTTTTTGGTAAGAAAAAACTCACCACTGTCGAAAGCAATAACTTCTACGTGATACGTATTTCTTTCATCGTAGTCTAGTTTTCTTGAAACCGTGACAATTCCCGTGGTTTCATTAATTGCGAAATCGTCAAAAGCTCCTTTTTGAATTCTATACGTTAGCTCTGAATTTATACCACTGTCTGCGTCTGTTGCCTGCATCTCTTCAACGATTGTTCCTTAAAAATAAATCCATTTATTTAATAACAAATGAAAAATGTAAATTAATGCGAAAAAAAAGGAAAAAAGTAAATGAAATAAGAAAAAAAGCAGGCTTTGCACTCATTTATTAAAAACTACAATTTTCAATACATTTTTATATATTTTTTCAAAATTTGCATTACTTTGAACCCGCTAATAGTTGAAATAAAAGAAATATTCTCAAAAATTTTAATAAAATTCTTAGAAACAAGTCTAAAAATTTTAATAAATTACTTTGAAATTTACAAATATTTTAAATAAAAAATCCGTTGCTAAAATTCAATTATTTTAATAAATAATAAAATTCTTTGCTGGATTTCAATTATTTTTAATAAAATTTTTAATTTCACGAAAAATGTAATTAGTGTTAAAAATTTTATTGAAATTCTTCGAAAAAAATCATTAAGGTATTTAACAAATTTTTTTTATAAAATCCTTCGAAGCAAATTCATTATTATTTTTAATAATTTGGATAAAATTTGCTTATAAGAATTCAAATATTTTCAATACAATTGTAATTAAATGCTTCCAAAGAATTCAATAATTTTCAATACAATTATAATTAAATTCTTCCAAAGAATTCAATTATTTTTAAATTTTTTAATAAAAAATTCTTTAAAAAAATTCAATTATTGTCATTTCTTAAAAATTATATTAAAATCCTTCGAAAGAAATCAATTATTTTTAATAATTCTGATAAAGTTTGTTAAAAAGAATTCAATTATTTTTAATACAATTGTAAATAAATTCCTCTAAAGAATTCAATTATTTTCAACGTTTATAATAAAAAATTCTTCAAAAAAATCAAAACTTAATAAAAAATTTAAATAAAATTAAAGAAATTCAAGCATTTGCTAGAATTTAATTATTTACATGAAGGATGAAATGTTTTACGGCAATTCAATTAGTAAAAAAAAGTATAATAATTATTCTTAAAAATTTTATTAAAATTCTTGGAAAGAATTCAATTATTTTCAAAAATTTTGATAAAATTCTTTATGAGAATTTAGTTTTAAGAAATATTCAATTATTCTATCAATTATTTATTTTTGTATTCAAACGATTGAATTCTCGTAAAACTTTCTAATAAAAATTGATTAGAGAATATTATTTTTAGAAAGAATTAAATTTCAAAAGATTTTTAAATTGAAATCTTTGAAAATTTTAATACTTGTAAAACTAATACTATTTAAATTTTTATGTTAAAAAATTATAAATTTATTATTTTTCTAAAAAATTATTAAATTTTTGAATAATTTTATTTAAGAATTCTAAGAAATAATAGAATTTTGAAAAAATTACATTTGTAATTCTAACTAAAGGAAAGTAATTGAATTTTACAAAAATTTAGAATTGACATTATTACCAAGATAGGGGAAGAGGTTAATATTCTTTCTGGAAATCAGGGAAATATAAATCAAGTTTTTCGGATAACTCTGAGTAAAATACATTTTTACTAAATTTTTATGTCTTAAAGCTGCTTTCTCCTAATTCTTTTTAAAACTAATTAATGAGTGCGAAGCCTAAAAGATAAGAAAATGTATAAATTTTCTCCTACCTGGAGTTGATAATTCGGGAATACTGGCCGTATAAAGATCATGTGGAAATACGGGTGAATTGTTATTAACGTCTCGAACGGTAATGTTGACGGTTGTATTATCAGTGAATGCACCATCTCTGGCCTGAACAGTAAGAGCAATCCAATCGTGACTTGAATTCGTGATGTCAACAGGGCCTTTGTTGGCAATGGTAATTACTCCAGTGTCCGGATCGATGTTAAACAGACCCATGTTATTGCCATCGATTAGAGAATAAGTAATTTTCGATGTCTTGTCTTTGTCACGTGCTTGGACTTTTAGTTCGGGTTCAAATTTCTCTGCGCCCTCATCCACAACTGCACGATATTTATTTTGTAAAAAATGCGGTGGACTGTCATTTGCATCCGAGAGGGCAATTTTCAACGAGACACTTGTCGTTTGACCCTTACCATCGTCATCTGTAGCCTGTGAAACAAAATTTAAATTGAATTTAAATAACAAATTGAACACTCACGTTTGATAGTAAAAAAAACTAGAAAAAAAGCGTCCTATCCTATCCTAAACGTAAAATATTAATACAAACATTTCGAAGTAATATTTAATCTTGATATTTTTATTCCTTTTGAAAAATAATTCTGTACTTTCGTCTCTTTTTAATTTTACATAAAAATGATTTTTTAATATGAAATTGAATAAATTAATATTTAAATTGACATTTAAATTAATATTTAAATTGAAATTTAAATTAATATTTAAATTTAAATTTTGGAGAAATTTCTTACCTTGTAATTCAGGAAGTACTCGGATTGTTCTTCAAAATCGAGACAGGGTGAAGTTCCAGGCGTAGGACATGCTGCGACGGTAATACTTCCGGTTTTTTTGTCGACCGCAAAATGTTCAGCGCCTTGACCAATTAATTGGTAAATAATTCCCGCCACACCATATCTGAAAATTTATTTAAAAAGAAGTAAATTAGTATTTAAAAATTACTTTTTATCCAAATTGCCAAATCTTTTACATTTACAATTTAGTTTCGAAAATTTCATTTTAAATATCAACATTTCCACTGTTTTAAATTATTTTTTGTTATTTATAATTAAAATTTCTTATAACTTCAATGTAAAACCTTTTAAAATTCAATTATTTCTTAAAATTTCGTATTTTTTCTGTCCTGTGAAAATCCTGTTATTGTAAAAATTCCAGGGGAATTAATTTTACGAAAATATTAATCACTTTATTTACAAATTAATTATTGTCAAATTTTTGGCATGTTTTTGACACGACAATTTGAGCTGTAAAACAATTTGGAATAAAAAAGCTGCAAATTTACGTGAGTACAAAATATCTCGTCTATTATGTAATTTAATTTCAATTTTCAAAAATAATTCGTGTAATTAAAAAAATAGTCTCTTAAAAGAAATGGAAAAATTCTGAAATAAGTAAATATTCACGTACCGTCCACTATCACGATCTTTAGCAGTAATTGTTGCAATTGAACTACCCGGGGTCGCAGTTTCAGAAACAAGGGCTGTGTAGGTTGGACTTGCAAATGAAGGCGCGTTGTCGTTAGCATCGATAATACTGACGGTCACGGTTGCAGTCGATGATAGCTTTGGATTAGTGTGCATCTCCCTTGCAATCACCTGCAAAAAAATAAAATTACGCAAATAAATGGAAATGAAAATCGTTCCTATTATTATTTTAATGGCTTGCAAATAAGAAGGAGAAAGGGAATAAGAAAAGAGCAAATTAAAGCTATGCAAGTCAAAAGAGGTCAAACAAAAAAGTTAGTTTTCCTTTCTCGATTTATCTCTCGTCTTAAAACGAGAAAAAGAGAGAGAGAGAGAGAGAGATGAAGGAAGAAGGAGAGTTGAGGAGAAGAGAATCAAGTTTAGCCAGCGGCGTGATGTAATTATATTACAAGTTGCTCACCAGAATGATAAACTTCCTCTGGTTCGGATTCTCGTAGTCTAGGGAGCCGTTGGTCACACGTATATTGACCGAGGTACTTCCGGTCGCTTGGGTCGGTTCAACGGCAAATGCACCGGTTATATCTTCTAATTCCAGGGAAAATACAGAATTTGATCCCTGCAAAATTTGACAGAGAAAAATATCAAAAATAATGAAAAATTTCAACGAAGAAAAATGTACAAACAAAAAAATGTAAAGAAAGTTACAGAAAATTGTAAAAAAATGTACAAAATGTAATAAAAGTGTAAAAAATGTACAAAACGTAATAAAAGTGTACAAAAATGTACAAAATGTAATTAAATTGTAAAAAATGTATAGAATGTAATAAAAATTCAAAAAAAATGTTAATGAATGTGTAAAGAAAAATTTTGAAGAGAAATGTAAAGAAAATAGAGGTAAGAAAGTAAAATATAAAAATTGAGAGAAAAGTTGCGAACAAAAGTTTACCACATCGGGATCCTTGACAGTCATGTCCAAATGTGGAAGCGGTGTACCATCGGGAACATTCTCGGGAATTTCAATGTTGTACTCGCGTTGATTGAAGGAAGGTGGTTCGTCATTGACATCTTTGATGGTCACAGTGGCTTCCGCCGTCGAAACTGTCGATGCGTCGTTTCCTGGCACTCCGTCGATTACCTCTCGTGCCTTAACCGTCAACGTCAGAACACCAGTCGAATCCTGCAAAGCCTCTCTATCCAGTGGTTTAGCTGTTCTCAATTCACCACTCACCGGATCCAACAGAAAATAATCAAACGGATCTGCAAAAGAAAAAACAATAAATTATTTCATCATTAAAATATTTTCCAAACAAAAGTTCATAAATTAAATAAAAATATTTTCAATATATTTTAATTAAAATATTTAAATATGTTAATTTAATGAATTTAATTCTTTCAATAAAATCAGGGCTCGAATCAGTAAAAGTATTTAAAAATACGGACCAAAAATTAAAAATTACGGACCAATTATTTACAAAAATATAACCATTCCGAGTGAAATAAGAGAACATTTTACTTAAAACTATAAATTAAATTTTTTATAACTGAAATTCATTTTTAAATCAATTTTTATTAGAAAATTCTACTATAATTTTTTATTCCATGTTTTTAACTAAAATTCTTTTTCAAATCTATTATTTTTAATAATTTTTCAAAAAGTTTTTTGAGAATTTTCAAATTTATTTGTTTATAATTCAATTTTACAAAATTTCAATTATTAGTACATTCTTCAATTAAATATATATTAGAAAATAAAAACTTAAAATAATTTTTAAAAAAATCCGCAATTAAACTTTCACAAAAAAATTAATTCCACAGAATTGTTAGTTAAAAAATGAAAAATTCAGATTTTCAAAGATTTTAATTTGAAACCTTTACAAAATTCAATTATTTTTAAAAATTTACGTTCTAATGCTTTTAATATTCGCAATTAAAATCTAAAATTTTATCTGTAATTCATTTTTAAATCAATTTTTATTAGAAAATTCTACTAGAATTCAATTATTTAAATACAAAAAAATTATGTTTCTTAATATTGAATTCTCATAAAGAATTTTATCAATAAATTTTTAAATAATTGAATTCTTTTGACGAATTTTAATAAAATTTTTAAGAATAATTACATTTTTTGAAGAATTCGATTAAAATTGTATTAAAGATAATTAAAATTCTGCAATGAGTTTTATTATTTATGAAAATAATTGACTTCCAAAAAAGAATCAATTAAAATTTTTGAGGTTTTTTTTTTTTTTTTTTTTTTTTATTTTATATTTTAAATATACAGCGAAAATATTTTCCCGATAAAATGAAAATTAATTATTTCAATAAAATGCAAACAAAATATCGTTATTTCATCAATGAAAATATTTTACACGAAGAAAATAATTTCTCGATAAAATGAAAATGAATTATTTCAAGAAAATGCAATATCGTTATTTTATTGATTGAAATAATAAAATATTTTATTTTTTTGGGTAAAAAAATTACCCCTATAAACGAATATTTTTTAATAAAGTGCAAAATAAAAATACCTTTAAATTTTTTAAACAAAAAATAATTTTTCGATAAAATGAAAATATACTATTTCAATACTTTACTTTTATTATTTTTTTTTATTATTTCAGTCTAGAAAACAAAAAATTTCTTTATTATTAAATTAATATTTAACAAAAAAATTTCTCGTATCAATGAAAATAAATTATTTCAATATTTTATTATTTATTATTACTAAATTTTTATTATTTTAGTTTAAAAACCAATAAATTTCTTTATCATTTAAAAAATATTATCGATTAAATTATTTAATATCTTCTTATATTTATTTCTTTTTATTATAACTTTATTTAATTTTACTTATTTTTCATTTTTAAATTATTCCAACAAAACGCTAGCAAAATAACGTCATATCATCAATTAAAATACTGTACACAAAAAAATTTCTCGAATAAATGAAAATAAATTATTTTAATAAAACGTAAACAGAAATTTCTTCACTTCATTAGTTAAAATAATTAATACAACAACAAAATATTTCCCAATAAATGAATATACATAATTTTAATGAAATACAAACAAGAACTTGTTTACTTCATCAATTAAAATATTTTATTTTAAAAAAGTAGAATCGTAGAAATAATAAAATTATAAATAAAATAAAATCGTAAAAAAATAAAATCGTAAGAATAAAAAAATCACAAAAATAGTAAAATTAAAAAAAATAAAATGCAAAGTAGCTGAATTTTCAAGAATATTTGCAATGAAATATATAATAGTTGTAGTTATTTGAATTTAATGAAAAGAGGTAAAATTTTTTTGTTTCTGTTCTTATATTATTTTGAGGAAAATAAACTGGTTGCACATAGGCCGCGCTGCGTGATGGACAGTGATAAAATGAAATCGTAAGAAATGACAAGAAAAATTTTTAAAACACACTTACTTGTGACGAGCTCATAAAAGATCTTTCTTGGCATTCCTCTGTCGCCGTCTCTTGCTTTTACTGTCATCACCAATGTGCCAATCGGATCGTCTTCACGAACAATTCCAGTGAGTGAATCCAAAAATTCCGGTGGACTATTTTGAATATCCGCCACTTTTATTTCGACGCCCGTCGTTTTATTATTCAATCCATCCTAGAAACAATATGAAAACAATTAGAAATTCAGTTCAAATTTTTTTTTTAATTTCTACCAAAATTTATTATTTTTCTAGAATTTAAAAAAAAAATGATATCTTCATACCTATATTAATTTTTCCCTTCGATTACAATTTCTATTAAAAAATTCCTTCGTATATTAATTTTTCCCATCGATTACAATTTTGTATTAAAAATACCTTCGTATATTAATTTCTTCCATCGAATACAATTTTGTAATAATAAAAATTGTTCTATTTTTTTTAATTGAAAAAAATATTTATTTATCTTTTTGTTTTTTAAAATAAATCCAACAGTCAGAAGACGAATTATGGAATTTTAATTGTAAAGGAAAGAAAATCGGAAAAAAATCGAAAAAGAAATTATTTAAAATATTTTTATAAATAAAATTTCCACGCTCTTTATTCTTCCTCCTTCCTGTTGATCGATGAGAAAATATTTTTCACAATAAAACAATTTTCTCTGGATGGGCATGAAAGAGAATTTTTTTTCTCGATAAAACAAATAAGAAGTAGTAATAAAATGAATGATAAATAAAATAAATAAAAAATAACAGGGTTGCCACAGGTCAGGAAAATCAGGGAATTCAGGGAAAAGTCAGGGATTTTTAGTAAAAGTACTGGAAAAAAAATTGAATTTTTAAAATTCATAAGAAAACTCTTAATTTTGAATTAATTCAATTAGAAATTTTAAAGAACTTAGTTTTTTAAAAAAATTTAATAATTCAAATTCTTCTGAAATTAGTTACATTTTTTAATACATATTTAATTAATTATTAAAAATTATAGATTTATAGAAGAATTTTAGTTTAAAACACTAAAAAAAAAATTGAATTTTGAAGAAATTATAAATATAATTGCAGAAATTCAATTATTTTCAAACGTAATAAAATTCTTGGGAAAATTTTAATTATTTTCAAAAATGTTTCTCAATTCAATGATTTTAAATATCTATTTTAATAAAATTTTCCAAAAGAATTCAATTATTTTCGTAAATAATAAAATTCTTTTTAGGAATTCAATTATTTTCATAAATAATAAAACTCATCGCAGAATTTCAATTATTTTTAATACAATTTTAATTTCAATTCTGTTGAAATGAGTTGAATTTTTTAATATTGTATTAATTATTATTTCCAAAATTGTAATGCAATTCTCAGAAAGAAATCAATTATCTATAGATAAATATCAAAATTCTTCGCAGAAATTCAATTGTTTTCAAGAAACAATTTTCTTTGCAAAATTCAATTATTTTCATAAATAACAATATTATTAAAAAAATTTTTAGTAAAATTTTAAGCAAATAAATTTTTTTTTATAAATAATAAAAATTTCCCAGGATTTCAATTATTTACAAATTTTTTCTCAATAATTCAATTATTTTTATAAATAATAAAACTGTTCTCAGTAATTTAATTATTTTCATAAATAATAAAACTCATTGCAGATTTTTAAATTTTTTTAATACAATTTTAATCAAATTCCTTGAAAAATGGAATTATTCTTAAAAATTTTATTTAAATTCGTGAAAAGAATTCAATTATTTAAAAATCTGTTAATAAAATTCTTTATGATAATTCAATTTTAACAAAAGTTTAATAATTCAATAAATTATTTTTTTTTGGAATTTAAATAATTGAATTTTTTTAGAATTTTCTAATAAAAATTGATTTAAAAATGAATTTCTGAATAATCGATTTATTATTTATTAAAATAATAGAATTCTTGAAACAATTTTATTACATTTTTTAAAAATAATTGAATTCTTCTGATGAATATTGTTATTTATGAAAATAATTGAATTTTCCAAAGAAGTTTATTAAAATGCCTCAAAACAATTGGATTTTCGAGAATAATTTTGTTATTTATCTTTAATAATTGAATTCTTTCGAAAAATTATTTATGTAAATAATTGAATTCCTGTCAAGAATTTTATTAAAATCTAAAAGAATAATTGAATTATTTAAAAAAAAAATTGAATTAAAATTATATTTAAAATAATTGATTTCTTCAAACAATTTTATTAAAATATTTGAAAGTAATTGAATTCCTGTGAAAAATTCTAATTTTTTTTTTTGAAAATAATTGAATTCCTGTGAAAAAATGTAATATTTTTGAAAATAATTGAATAGTGGCTAAAAATTTTATTAAAATTTTCAAAAATAATTTAATTCCTGAGAAGAATTTTATTATTTATGAAAATAATTGAATTCTTCATAAGAATTTTATAAACATTGTTTTGAATAATTAATTTTTTCGAAATATAATAAATATTATGAAAATTTTATTATAAATAATTGAATTCTTTTGGAAAACTTTATTTGTGCGAATAATTGATTTCAATTATTTTTGATACAATTTTAATCGAATTCCTTGAAAAATGTGATTATTCTGAAAATTTTTATTAAAATTCATCAAAAGAATTCAATTATTTAAAAATTTGTTGATAAAATTCTTTATGAGAATTTTATTTGAACAAAAATTCAATTATTCAATGAATTATTTTTTTTTTGAATTTAAATAATTGAATTTTCGTAGAAGTTTCTAATAAAAATTGATTTAAAAATGAATTTCCAAATAATCGATTTATTATTATTTATTAAAATAATAAAATTCTTGCAACAAATTTTATTACATTTTTTTTAAATAATTGAATTCTTTTGAGAAATTTTAATACTTGTAAAAATAATTGAATTCTTGCGAAGGATTTTCTTTAGGATCAGGGAAAAAGTTAAAATCAGTCAGGAAAAAGTCAAGGAAAAACAAAATTAAATATTTATGGCAACCCTGAATAAATTTTCTGTTAATATTTTACACTGTAAAACAAAATTCTCTGGATTGACATGAAAGAGAATTTTTCTTCTCGATAAAATAAATGAATGATAAATAAAAAATAAATTTCGGTAAAGTTGATAACTTTTATATTAAGAGACAAAAAAAAAATAAATTTATTAACAAATCGCGTAATTATAAAATGATAAAAATAGCAAAGTAAAATTTTCTTCTTTTTTTTCCTTTCATTTTCTTGCGTGAAAAGGCAAAAAGCAAAGTTTGTGATAAAGCAATTAGTGTATTTCTTGGGTATTATGAGAATTAATTAGTTGCACTGCTCGTTTTACATATACGCAACTAAAACGCAGTAGTCTGAGACGAAGAAGTTGAATTTGTATTATTTAAGGAAGGAGGAGGAAGAAGAAGGAGGAAGAAGAAACAGTTTCTCGTATAATTTATATCAATTTCCTTATAGTTCCACTCACGCTCGCCATGAGAAGCAGCTGGTAGAAAGGTCTCTCTTTGTAGTCAAGTGGCTGTCGCAAAACAAGAGCACCCACGTACATGTTCTCGCTTTTCTCCACATCTTTAATTCCAAACTTTACACAGGCATCGGGAAACTGTAACATATCGAAGTTCAATAAAGTTTTACAAGTTTTCAATAAAAAATTTCTCTCCTTTCATTCCCCATTTTTCATGGGGAATAATGAAATATTGTTCTTTCTATAACGCTAACGTTTAGAGGGAATTTTTCTTTTCCCTTTTTTTATAACATTTATTTTTTGGTTCTACATTATTATATAATTTTAATAAATATAAATAATATTTAATAATTTAAATAAATATATATTTCAATAAATAAATAAAATTAAAGGAAAAAAATTATCATTTGGTAATTAAATATAATTTTATTATAAATTAATTACAGTCGTTTTTTTTATTATAAATTGAGAATTTCTTATAATTATTTATTTATTCATTATAATTGGGAGAGAATTTTATTTCATATTTTATTTGTTTCTATTTTATCATCATTTTATTTGCTCGTGCCATGCATTTTATTTTATTTCATTTTATTCAAGCGAGTCATTTTATTTGTACGAGTCATTTTATTGGCTCGATTTATTTGATTCGATTTATTCATTGCAATTTTTTGATTTATTCATTTAGTTTCCTTTGATTTATTTTATTGTCTATTTTCTTGATTCAATGTTCACTGGTTGGATATGAAAAATAAATGTATGATTAATAAATGGGAATATTATAGATACAAAATATTAATAATCAGACAATATTCAAAACAAATTAAGTAATTAATTAATTAAAAAAAATACAAATAATATTAAACAAAAAGTAGTTAAAAAATATAAACAATATAAAAAGAAATAGGCAAAAAAGTATAAAAATTACTGAAATAGTAAAAAAAATAAAAGTACTATAAACAAAAACAATAATAAAATACTAAAATAAAAAATGCAAAAATAGTGAAAATATTAAAATAGGTACTATAAACAGAAACAGTAAAAATATTAAAATAGTACAAAAATATAAACAATATAAACGAAAGTAGTAAAAAAAGCATAAATATAGATACACAAAAAAAATAGTAAAAAATACTAAAATAGTAAAAAAAACTAAAATAGTAAAAAAACTAAAATTTTAGTAAAAAAAAATACTGAAATAGTAAAATAAATATAAAAATAGTAAAAAAAGTAAAAACATAAATAATATATACGAAAGTAGTAAGAAAAGTATAAATATTGGTTAAAAAAATACTAAAACAAATTCTCAAACAGTAAAAAAATACAAAAATATTTTAAAAAGTCTAAAATAGTAAAAAATATAAATAGTATAAGCAAAAAGAGAAAAAAATTTAAATTTCTACAAGTAAAAGCAGTAAAAAATACTAAAATAGTGACAAAATAAAAGTACTATAAACAAAAACAATAATAAAATACTAAAATAATAAAAAGTGCAAAAATAGTGAAAATATTAAAATAGTAAAAAAAATACTGAAATAGTAAAATAAATATAAAAAATAAATATAAAAAATATAAAGAAAAAATAGTAAAAAAAATAATAATAAAAACAATAATAGTAAGAAAAATATAAATCATGTAAACTGTAAAAGAAAAAAATGTAAATAAGATAGGTAAAAAAATAGTAAAAAAATACTAAGGTATTAAAACAATATACTAAAATAGTATCAAAAAATTGAAATAGTAAAATAAATATTAAAATACTAAAGAAATGTAAATAATATAAACAAAAGTAGTAAGTAAAGTATAAATATTGGTAAAAAAATTCTAAAGTAAATTCTCAAATAGTAAAAAAAAATACTAAAGTAAATTCTCAAATAGTAAAAAAAAAAATACTAAAGTAGTAAAAAAAGTCTGAAATAGTAAAAAATAGAAATAATATAAGCAAAAAGAAAAAAAAATTAAATTTCTACAAAAAAGCTGTAAAAAAATACTAAAATAGTGAAAAAATACAAAAATACTGACAAAGTAAAAGTACTATAAACAAAAACAATAATAAAATATTAAAATAGTAAAAAATAGAAAAATAGGATCAAAAAAATAAAAGTATTATAAAAAAAAAAATAAAAAAAATTTAAGAATTCAATAAATAAAAGCAGTAAAAATACAAAAATAATAAAAAATACAAAAATAGTGTATATTAAATTAGTTAAATTTTTTATGTAATTTGTATTTTTATACTATAAACAGAAACAGTAAAAAAATTGTAAAATAGTAATAAATACAAAAGTAGTAAAAAATTACTGAAATAGTAATAAAATATAAAGAAAAAATAGTAGAAAATAATAATAATAAAAACAAAAATAGTGAGAATAATAAAATAATTTAAGCAATAAAAGTAAAAAATGTAAGTAATATAGGTAAAAAATAGTAAAATAAATACTAAAATAGTAAAAAAAAATATAAATAATATAAAGGAAGGTGGTTAAAAAAAAGTATAAATATAGATACAAAAAAAAAATAGTAGAAAAATACTAAAGTAGTAAAAAAATATACTAAAATAGTAACAAACAATTGAAATAGTAAAATAAATATTAAAATAGTAAAAAAATATAAATAATGTAAACAAAAGTAGTAAGTAAAGTATAAATATTAGCAAAAAAAAAATTACTAAAGTATAAATAGTAAAAAATATAAATAATATAAGCAAAAAGAGAAAAAAATTTAAATTTCTACAAATAAAAGCAGTAAAAAATACTAAAATAGTGAAAAAAATACAAAAATACTGACAAAATAAAAGTACTATAAAAAAAACCAGTAACAAAGTATTAAAATAGTAAAAAATACAAAAATAGGATCAAAAAATAAAAATACTATAAAAAAGCAGTAATAAAGTATTAAAATAGTAAAAAATACAAAAATAGGATAAAAAAAATGCTATAAAAAAAATAGTAAAAAATTCTATAATAGTAAAAAAATAAAAATAGTAAAAAATATAACTAATGATAAAAAAATTAATTTTTTTTTTAAATCGAAAAAATGGGAAAAAATAAAAAATGAACTAAAGAATATTAATTAAAAAAAAAAAGAAAAAATAAATAAAAATGAACGATAATTTGTTCAATAGAGAATGCATAATACAGTTGACATGATATTTATACAGTGAGATATATATCTATATTATTGTCAAAGCGAGAGACAGTAAAGTGTGATGCCATAAAGACGGTGGACAGTTATTTAAAAGGGTTTGCAGTTTTATTGCCCATATAACGTCCTGCTGAATTCATCAAGCGGATATGATGTAGACATACACATCCTTCTATATATAATACTCTTTTCAACAAAGACACAGAGAAAAGAATTTATTCTACATCTCTATATATATATTTTCAAATATATTCCTCATATTCAAATAACATACCATTATATTTATGAGTCGTAACTTCAACTTTCTCATTTACTTAAATTCAGAATTATATGCAGAAAACTTATCGAAGTGTAACAAAAAGAATGAATGAAGATGATGAAGGAAAAAAAATTGTTGTAAAAGTATGTATCTCGCAAAAATATAGATATATATGTGTTCATTATTTGAAAATGTTGTTAAATTATTTATGTAATTTTTCTAGTTTTATTTAAATTCTGTTTTAAATATAATTATTTATGTAACTTTCAATATTATATAATATTCAATATTTAATAACTTGGAAATTCTTTGTAACTCTCGGTATTTATTAAACTTGGATATTTTTTATTTAAGTTTTAGTATTTTGCTTAACTTGGATATTTTTTATTTGACTTTTAATATTTTGCTTAATTCAGATATTTTTTATTTCACTTATAATATTTTTTAACTCTTGTATTTTTTATTTAACTTTCATAATATTTTTATTTAAGCCGCAGTGAAGTTCACAACGCGTTTATAATCAACAATTAAAAAAAAGAATAAAAAGAAATGTTAAAATTCGTTATTTAGGATTTTTTTTAAATCAAGAAACTGTACACAAAAATCTCTTTTAGACAAATATTTATAAAATTTTCAAAAGAAAAATATTTTTTCTTCTAAATTGTCCATTATAAAATATAAACATTACAAAATTCACTAAAATTTTAATAACTTTTAATAAAAACTTAATATAATAACTTTTAGTAACGTTTTATACTTTTTTTATATTTTATATTTATCTAACTTTTAATGTTTTTAGTATAGAATTTAACATTAAATTAAATTAAAATAAATTAAATTAACCGCAGTTATAATTAGCAACGAATAACTATATTGCTCCTGCGATTTTTAATTTTTCGCCTTAATTAAAATTTTATTTGAATTAAAATTGAATTTTATCCTAGATTTAAATTAAAATTTCTATAATATTATAATTTTAAAATAAGAGTATGAAAATATTTCAATTAATTTATATATATACCTGATATTGAGTGAAAAAATAATCTTCATTGTTTATTAAATTCTTAATTAATATTTCATCAGTTTATAAATTAATTAAAATTTCATATTCTTCTCTCATTTGATTTTAACATCTGTTTTTAATTAAAGTTAAATTTTCTCGTTTGATTTCATTTTAATTATAATTTCAAGATTTTAATTTTGAATTTAATTTTTAATTAACTTGAATGTTCACGGGGACAAATTTAGAATCTATGTCAAAAGTTTATTTTCTTGTAAATTTACTGTGAGTTATTTCAATTTATATATGAAATTAAGTATTTTTTAAAAAAAAGTAATTATGTAGTATTTTAAAAGTTATTCGCGATTCAATAATTTTCAATATTTAGACTATTTTCATAAAATTTATCAAAAGATTTAATTATTAAAAAAAAATCTTATTACAATTTTACAAAAATATTCAATTATTTTCATAAAAAATTTCAGTTAGGAATTCGAATTATTTTCATCGCAGAATTTCAAATTACATACTTTTAATATAATTTTAAATAAAATCCTTGAAAAATGCAATTAATCTTAAAAATTTTATTAAATCAGAAAAAAGTCAGAGAAAATGAAAAACAAAGTTAAATTTTTGTGGTAACACTGACTTTATTTTTTTTTCTGTTTTAAGTATAGAAATATACTCGTTGGGTCAGCTAAAAATTATTTTAAAATTGAAAAAAAATCTACGAAAAGGCTATTTTTTTCTTAAGTAGAAGAAAGGCTACTTTGTCAGACAAACGAGACTTTTTAATCAAAAAAATCTTTTCGTCCAGTAATTATTTTGTTTTTAAGGAGAAATTATCGATTTTGGTCAGACATGAACAATTTTTAATGAAATAAATCTATTTTTTTCTGTTTTAACTTTTAAGTAGAAATATAGTCGTTTGGTCAGCCAAAAATTATTTTAAAGTTGATAAAAAATTCATGAAAGAGCTATTTATCTCTTAAATAGAAGAAAAGCTACTTTGTCAGACAAACGAGAATATTTAATCAGAAAAAATCTTTTAGTCAAGTAATTTTTTGTTTTTAAGTAGAAATAGTCAATTTTGGTCAGACATGCACTATTTTTAATGAAATAAATCTATTTTTCTCTGTTTATAGTAGAAATATAGTCGTTTGGTCAGCCAAAAATTATTTTAAGTTTGAAAAAAATCACGAATGGGCTATTTTTCTCTTAAGTCGAAAAAAGGTTACTTTGTCAGACAAATGAGATTTATTAATCAGAAAAAATCTTTTAGTCCAGTAATTTTTTGTTTTTAAGTAGAAATTGTCAATTTTGGTCAGACATTAACTATTTTTAATAAAAAAAATAAATTTTTTTTGTGCATAGTAGAAAAAAAACTATTTCTAATTTATTTTTTCAGTTTTAAGTAGAAATATAGTCGTTTAGTCAGACAAAATTTTTTTTTAAGTTTTACAAAAATTCATGAAAGAGCAATTTTTTTCGTAAGTAGAAAAAATGCTACTTTGTCAGAGAAATGAAAATTTTTAATCAAAAAAATCTTTTCGTCCAGTAATTTTTTGTTTTTAAGTAGAAATGATCAATTTTGGTCAGACATTAACTAGTTTTAATGAAATAAATCTATTTTTCTTTGTTTAAAGTAGAAATATAGTCGTTTGGTCAGACAAAAATTAGACTACTACTATCTTTCATGAAACTATCTTTAAAGAAATAATTTATTTTTTAGTGTAGAATAAACTAAATTAAATACTATAATTATATTAGTTATTAATAATATTATATTAATAATTAATTAATTAATTAAATTACTGAATTTGTGACTCACTTGTGGTTGGGGAATGCAGGTGAGTTCAATATTCTCGCCGATCAAATCGGGATCAGTGACTTTAATAGCTGGTAAAATAGTCGTGTTAACCGGTGTGTCTTCAACGGCAACTGCCTCGTATGGTGTGCCCTCAAATTGTGGTGGATTATCATTTTCATCGAGAACAATTACGTATGCATCAACGCCAACTATATTTGGTTGTTGTCCTGCAGGAACTTGATCCTCCAATGTCACTCGAAATCGAATAGTATCATTTTCCTGTAATCAGAGAACAAAAAATTTTTATTTTTCTTCTTCTTCTTCTATTTTTCTATTATATATATATATATATATATTATATTAATACGATCCCTTTTCATCGTAAATGAAAAGCTTTTAGAAACAATAAACAATTTGTAATTTGATAATATTATAGTCGCAAATATATAGAGAATTTTGTTTATATGAAGAATTGATTTTTACTGAGTAATAGCTAGGTAAATGGAAAAGTTGGAATAAATATGAATAGAGAGAGAAAAAGAAAATTAGGAGAGAAAAATTTATTTATACGAGGAATGAAAAAAATATACGGAGAAAATGTTTGTTGTTAGAGTAGAAATTGTACTTTTTAGTCAGACAAAATGTATATTTTTAATATGTGATCTAATATTATTTAAAAAGTGATATTGGAGAATTTTTATACTTTTTAAGTAGAAGGGATATTTTTAAGTCAGACAGAAATTACTTTTAATTTTATTGCTCTTTCATAATTCCATAGAAATTTTTACTTTTTAAAAGTAGAAGAGATACTTTTACTTACTACTACTTTTATATACATTACTTCACTTTACTATTTTTATTTCTGCTTAAGTAATAATTACTAATTACTAATTAGGCATTATTACTTTTTAAGTAGAACACTTACTGTTTCGTCAGACCAAAACTAGTTTTAAGAAGAAAAAAATTTCCTAGTGTATTTTTTATATTTTTTCTAATATTTTCCGTTTTAAGTAGAAATATAGTCGTTTGGTCAGACAAAAACTATTTTAAAGTCGAAAAAATTTACGAAAAGGATATTTTTCTCTCAAGTAGAAAAAACGCTACTTTGTCAGACAAATGAGTCAAAACTCAAAAAAATAAAAAAATTTCTGGCCACATCTTCAGTTCTAAAATTTTTTTTAAAACTTTCAAATACCAAACACTTAATAAGTATCACAAACCAAAAATTATTTTTCCTTAGAGATTTTTATATTTAAATGAGATAAAAACATTTTTTAAATATTAAGTTAAAATTTTCTTACAAATCTTTAACAGGCAAAATTCCAGAAATTTTTTTAAATTAGAAAAAAATTATTTACTGTTCTTAACACTGGCAAGGACAATACCAATTATTATCTGGGTCATAAAAATTAATTTAATTCACAATTTATAAGAAGTAACCACAGCTGATAATCAGCAGAAGATGAAAACTTATTTTTGGAGCGAACTTTATTTTCTGTTTACTAACAATTTTTAGTCATAAAATTTTTTTTGATCCTAAACTATTGCTAGAACAATTCCAATTAATATCTGGGTCATAAAAATTAATTTAATTTTTTTTTTCTTGTTAGTATAGTCGAAAACATTTCGTTAAGTACTTTTTTGCTTTTAAGTAGATAGAATCAATTATAGTCAGACAATAACTATTTTTAATTTTAAAACTAATTTTAATTTAATTTAATTTTCCAGAGTATTTAACATTTTAAGTAGAAATATTGTCATTTGGTTAGACAAAAAATATTTCTAAATAAAAAAAAAAAAATTCACAGAAGTGTTTTTTTCTGTTAAGTAGAAAAAACGCTATTTTGTCAGACAACGAGAACTAAGACAAAAACTTTTAGTCAGGTAATTTTTTTGTTTTTAAGTAGAAATTAACAAATTTGCTCAGGTAAAAACTCTATTTAGCAGCAATAAAATTTATTTCTAATATATTCTATAAGTTTGAAGTAGAAATAGACGATTTTGGTCAGACGGAACCTCTTTTAAGAAAAAATAATTTTTTTTAATTCAATTTTGTAAATTTAATTTCTGTGAGTAGAAAAGGCGTTGTTTGGTCAGACAATATGACTATTAAAAGTAGATCAAATTTAGTCAGTCGAAAATTACTTTTTATCAAAAAAATAGTAAATATAAATATCAAACAAAAGTAGTAAATGAAAGAGTAAACAAAAAAGAATAATTAATATAAAATTAGTAATAAATAAAAATAAAGTAAACAGAAAAGAATAATAAGTATAAAATTAGTAATAACTAATAATAAAATAATCAAAAATAAAAAATGTATATAGAATAAAAATAATTTAAAATAAAATAAATATTAAAAAAATCCAGCTAACAGTAAATTTTCAAGTAGAAAACATCCTTTCTAGTCAGACCAATGACTTTGACAAATCTTCAAGTGTACCAAACAGCAATCTCACTAAAACTTTTAAACTTCTGTGTTACAATATTTTTTCAAAAATTTTTATTCTCTACTTTTTAAAATAACAGGAAATAAAAATTTAGAGTTCACAAGTTTAGAAATATGTTTGGCTGTATTCCTTATGCAAAAAAAAAAAAAAAAAATTGCCGAAGACGAAACTTTGAAATCGAGAGATATGCTAAAAGTTGGCAGATATTCAAATTTTGCATCTCAGGACATTTCGTATACATGTGTATGTATATATGTATAGCTCGGCATTTTCCGGAAGTGAAGCGATCATACATGATACAGTTGGCCCCTCTCTTTTTCTCCCTCTCTCTCTCTCTCTCTCTTCTTTTCACATTTGTCGGATAATTCGTTCCACATTCTTCGGCTTCCTGTCTCGCCCAGATGGTAGAGGCAGTTGAAAAGGCGAATAACACAATAATACCTGTGTACACGCTTGGCAACGTGAATTGCTTTACATAGCAAAAAAGTACAAAGTGAACTTTTAATTTTCTCAAAAACTCGATAAATTCGCATTTGAGCCTCTTTCCGCTTCAAATCACGTTCTTTAATTTATTTTTACTCTCTTTGCGCATTGTTCCTTTTTCTTTTCTATTTTTTTTTTTAATTTGACAAATTATTTAATGTTACTAGCAAATATAAATATGATAAGCGCACGGAACGATGTATTCCGTTTATTATTATTTTGTAAACTAAAAAATTGTATATTTTCAAGAATTTTAATATAAATTCAATTATTTTAAACAATTTTGATAAAATTTTTATTAAAAAATTATTATTTTCAAAATTTTTGATAAAATTCCTTAAAAAAATCAATTATTTTCAAAAATTTAGATAAAATTTTTCAAAACAATTCAATTATTTTTATAAATAAGAAAATTCTTTGCAAAAATTAAAATATTTTTATAAATAATAAAATCCTTCAGAGGAATTCAATTATTTTTATAAATAATGAAATATTGAAATGTTTCGAAAGAATTCAATTATTTTCAATACAATTTTAATTACATTTTTTCAAAAGAATGCAATTATTTTTAATAATATTATTTAAATTCAATTATTTTCAAGTGTTTTAATAAAAATTCAATTATTTTCAACATTTCTGATAAAAAATTCTTGGAAACAATTCAATTATTTTTATAAATTGAAAAATTCTTTGGCAAGAATTCAATTATTTTTGTAAATAATAAAATTCTTTTGAGAAATTTTTCAAAAAAAATGTAATTATTTACAAAAACTCTATTAGTTTTAAAAAATTAAATTTTTTATGAATAATTTTAATGTGATTTAATAGGAAAATTGATAATTACAATTAATAATATAAACAATTATTTAAAAACTTGAAAGAAATTCTTCATAAAATTCAATTATTTTTAAAATTTTCAGTAAAAGTTAATTTAAAAGAGTTCATTATTTTAAAGAATTTTAATAAAAATATTGCTAAGAATTAAATTATTTTCAATACAATTTCAATTATTATTTGAAAAAATGTTAATAAAATTCTTGGAATGAATTCAATTATTATATTCAAATTTTTTTTATAAATACTTAACAAGAATTCAATGATTTTCAGTACATCAAAAATTTAATTATTTCTGAGAATAATTGAATTCTTAAATAGAATTTTATTAAAACTTTTTAAAATAATTGAATCCCTGATAAAAAAATTTATTATTTCTGCAAATAATTGATTTTTTGTAAAATTTTAAAAAATAAGTAATAATTTTCTGGAAATTGTATTAAAAATAATTGAAATCCTAAAAATAATTTTATTATTTATGACAATAATTGAAATTCTACAAAGAATTTTATTATTTATGAAAATAATTGAATTTCTCAAATGAATGGTATTAAAATTTTTTTAAATAATTGAAATCCTTGGGAAAAATTTATTATTTGTAAAAATAATTGGATTCTTGCAAATTCATAAATTACTTCGAATTTATTCAAACTTTAGAGAATAACTAGCCAAACTATCCGCGCGCAAGCGCGCGGGAATGTTGTATGGGGCTGCTTATTTTAAACAATTTAAAAAATTTCAAAGAAATAATTATTTTAACCTAACAAAGAGATTTAACTAACTAAAATTCAAATAATTTCACTCAATGGTCTCAATTTAAATAGAATTTACATTACTAGACTTAAACTATGGCTAGAACAATTACAATTAGTATCTGGGTCATCTTTTGCATTGCTTATTTTATAAAGCCATTTTAAATTAAATACTTTTTAAAGAAATAATAATTATTACACACTGAAAAAAGTTTTACTTGAAATAGCGATAAGTTTCTCTAGAATAACGAAAGTATTAATTGAAGCACTAAATAATTTCGCTACTAAAGTGAAATCTGTAGTTCATCCAGCTAAATATTTTTTGCCGTGCATAACGAAAAAAGAATTAAATTAACATCAGATTTTCTACATTCAAAAAAACGAATTCAAATAGAAATTAATCATTTTACAACTTAACCAAATTCACCCCAGAAATCACTAAATTCGATAATTTAGAAGAAAGTCAGACAAAAGCAGGGTTCCTACAGAATCTGGAAATCATGGAAATGGTATGGAATTTTTAAAAGGCTTCTGGAAATCAGGGAAATCATGGAAAAGGCCTGTAATTTTTAAAAAATTCTAAATTTTTTCAGTTTTCCATTTTTTCTTTTGAATAAAAATTCAAATAATAATAAAGCTAAATGGTATAAAAGAGAAAAAAAATGTTGAATTTTAAAAAATTCAATTTTTCAAATTTTTGATAATTTTTAATAATTTTTTATTTTTTTCCAAAGAGTCGAGACAATTTAATAAGTAAAGT